GCCTTGTGAAAAATGAGTTAGAGCGCCATGAATCCATTTTGCTATTGAGATAGTCTGTGTAGAAAGGGACTAAGTCAAATGGTTACAAGTGAGATGATTTTAATCAGCCCAGAAGTGCCATAATATTTTCTACCACATTATTAGAAGCAGAGTAAACAGTATTGGTTTATTGTCGCAGATGTGAGCCTTTCAAACCCTGGAGCCATTGCCAGACACAGGAAAACCCACATTCGATACTGCATAATCTGTTGGGGAGTTCCTTTGGCTATCGTGGGAATTTGTGTAGCTCTACAGTTGACCAACACTGGAAATATCCGTTATGGTAAGTTTATCCCTCAGAGGTAGCTACCACTCCTGCAACTCATCGCATGGAAAGCTTTCGCACAATACTGGAAAAACGCAACCTCGTAAACGGGGTTTCTTTTCTGCTATTTACTAGCGCGCAAGTCACGTTTTCAGATTATTTGGTAGAAATTGGCCTGAATCCTTGTTTAGCATGGTGGTTCTGGAGAATGAATGCAATTGCTCTATGGGGCGTGAAAAATAAACTTGTGGCATTTTCCTAATTGTATTTATTAGTTTTGTCCTATATTTTTTTCCTTGCAGCTACTGAAGAAGGATGTCAGCTTTCACTTCCTGCCCGCACCTACGCTGTTGCATTTCCTGTCTCAGGAATGATTTTTCTCAACATCGTGTCTTTGATCCGTACAGTTGTCTTCATCAAGCAACTAGGGCAGGTACTTATTTATTAGTTTAAATGAAAACAGCAAAACAAACAAAACACAACAACAATAACAACCTCAAACACGACACAAAATCGAAATAGAGAACTAACCAGAAAATTAAGAATTTCTGAAGTTCGTTATCAATAGTGGATGAAATATTCTCTGTTGTAACGCGTGGCTGTAGAAGCATTCCACGTTTTGACCGTATATGTTTAATTTCTTTGTGTTAGGGCAACGTAGCGGCCTCTCGCCAAAGAAACCTTCCCCTGATCGTGCTGAAATTGACAGCTGTTATGGGCATCTCCTGGATTCTAGGATTTGTTATGGCATTCCATCCAACACCTTACATCGAATATCCATTCGTCATAGTCAACAGCTTTCAAGGTAAGATTATCGACAGACGTGACATTATATTATTTAGTTTCTCTACTATTTACAGAATTTACTCTCAATATGTGAATTGTCCTTCATCACAATTAATACGGTTTCTTCAATAGAGGAAAGAAATAAAACAAAAATAAAACCTGAACAACATGAAACAAACCCACTCCACACCGGTTTGATTTTGCCTGCGCCACTTTTGTGAGATGCACGTTAAAGTTTCGGTTTCCCCCTCTGAGTGTCATGACTAGTCCGGAATTGTCTCTCAACCAAGCTAGATGCGAATCTTCAACTATCTTGCCTCGGTGGTTCGCGCATTCCTGTGCAGTAAGTTGTTTCCTTTGCGGTGCTATTGGCTCCATGTGACACTAAGGGAAACTGTCAAGAGTATTAAACATGCCAGGGACCATTTTCAGACTTTGAGCCCATGTTCTTTCTCCTGTATATCCCCCTCTCCTTCCCCCCTAACACAAGGTATCTTCTATAACTCCACCCCCCTACACATAGGCTCCATGGTACCTGGCATAGCCCCACCACCGTGCACAGGAGAACTATGGGACCCGGTATAACCCCACCACCGTACACATGAGATCCATAGTAACTGATATAACTCCACTAAAGTGCACAGGAGATCCATGGGACCTGATATAACCCCACCCCCATACACGTAGGATCCGTGGGACCTGATATTACCCCTCCACCCTAGACAGGTCATACCTTTAGATAAATTGACCAGTGCAATAACCTTGGTTTTAATTTATATAATTATTCGTCATGTTTATTTTTCCTCTCTAACAGGTGTATTCATTTGCTTTTCGTTTATGGTGAACAAACGTACCTTCACGATGTACAGACAGCGATTCACAAGGGAAACATCTCCGTCTATACCAGCGGAAGATCCGGAAGAGCATGCGTAAGAACCAGGGGAGTCCCTCAATGGATTTCAAGATAATAACACCAATGTCTCCTATTGAGTGTAGCAAATAAATCTAGTATTTGAAAAAACGCTATTGTTTTAATTTTCAAATAAGTTTTGAAGTGCAAACCTCATTGTCATCTATAAACCCATGGCTGATGAAGATACTTTCTACATCAAAACATATCTTAGTAATCAATGGAAAAATAGGCTTCAGAGTCCAAATGATTGTCATCTATGCCATTAAAATGAAGGAACGAAACTTTTACATTAATCACGTTTTTACGTTCCAAAGAGTAACGTAACTTTTCGAAAACTGTTTCGTCTTCAAGTTCGTTTAAATTTGGACCACAGATACCGCAGTTTTACTAGGTAACGACGTCTCTCAGCACGCATCATGGCTTCACTCAAATCGTATCGATTTAAACCAAAAGGTGAACTAAGTGGAAAAAAAAGAAGCCCGTGAAACCAAATTAATGATTATTTATAAACCACACGTTTTATTTCTTGCTATTTGAGTTGAATTCTAAGATGTTGGGCACTGCTGCGTAGTTACCTTCAAAAGGCGCAGTCTTGAATCGAATATTTTGTGCATTCTTCAACGTTTTTCTAAAGGTTAGTTTATCTTTTTTTTGGAATCCCAAAAGACTGTCGATATTATGATTTCATCTATACTTTTTTGTGATTGAGATGAAAATTATATGGTCTCTGAAGTATAGGGATGTCTTTTTTTTACTTATTTATTAATTTTTATTTTTTTGAAAATTTTGGTTTATTTGCTGTATCCTTGACTCAGCATATAGAAAACAAGATGTAAACGATAAGTTGTGAATTCAGAAATACAACACAATTTAAGACAAAGTTCTTCCTTCACTCATTACAACATTTTTACTCTTGTTCTGTTTTGTGCGTGTTGTTGAACGAAATTGAAAAGCTTGAGCCTCTTTCAAGGAGTTTCCTTCTACTTGCTTGTCACGTGACGGCTCATGACGTCACCTTGTTTGCGAAGGCAACGAGAACGTAACCAACCTCGCCCTCAGGTCCTTTCTCTTCTTTCCTAAGGAAAGTACACAGGCTGCGGTTGATCGAATGCCATTGTAGGACAAAGGGGGGGGGGGGGGGTAGGTCTCGACAAATTGAAAAATTGTGAGTGCATTTTCAAAATGACGCTTACGTTTTGGAGTAGACTTCACCTTCTTCTGCTTGCGGCTGGTTATTCAGATACTTACCAAGGGTTAAACAAGTAACATGTTTAGACGCTTTGTATTTACAAAATGGCGTAGTAGCAGTATTGCGAAATGGATACGGAAAATTGCTAATTTTCTAGGTTTTGTATCGATTGCCTCTCGACCACTGAACCTGTGTGAGCTTATAGTAGGGACTAAGCAGAAAATTTTCTCTCGCTCACAATGAGAAGAAAGTGATCGATACGAAGTTGCCGTGCGTCTGTTCAGTAATAGATCACAGAGTAAAACACATTTCAGAACGCAAAATGAGTAAAACATAAATGAGCAGTTGTGTAAGAAAATTTTGATTCCACCCACAGGCGGCCCAAGCCGTAATATGATCGTCTTGCGCAATAACAGTCATGGCGGAATTATAAGAGATTGTATGGGAATATGTACGACCGCTCTAAGGAATGAACAAATACATCAATTTCTAAATAAAAATACCTCACCTTACTTCCACAGCGTATCGCTTGTTATCTGACCGCTTAATTTGATGAAAAAAACCCATTTTGGCGAGTTGTTGATTTCGGGGTTTTCTACGTACATAAGAAAAGCCCTTACGTACATAAAAAAATGTGGTAAGAACAAAAAAGTGGCAAACGAGGGGCAGCCGAGTGTGTCACTGATGTTCTTACCACATTTTGACGTCCTCTGTGATCTATTACTGAACAGACGCACGGCAACTTAGAATCTATTTGTTTTATATAATAAAGAATTAAAAAAAGTTTTGATGATGACGTCATCTATACGTCTGTCCTCCAATAGATCATAAGTGAGAACCAATCAGATTATCAGAATGCGTGCATAACTGAGCTTATTATACAGTGTGCTGTAGATCGCGAAGTTTCGACTGAAATACTGCTAGTCTTCATCAGGCGATGAGGTCGATTGTTTACGTGCCGCTCTTTCTAGCTAGTTGGTTCGCTGCTATTAGAGCATTTCGATCCTCATTATTATTCCGGTCATTAGATGATGTTCCCTCTTAGGTCCTCATAAATCGGCTCTTGTGTTGTTTGATCGTGGGTATCCAGGCGAGCCAAGACTAGCAGTATTGCAGTCGAAACGTCGCGATCTACATCAAAAGTGACTCTATCGTGAGACCAATCGAACAAACTTCATCTCCTATCTTACACCACGATGAACAATAAGAACATATTTTATTACAATGAGTATATAATGTAAGTGGCCATCATAAAAAGGTTTCTAAAGCTGACTTTCCGAGCGTCAGCCCTTCGTCAGAGCGAAAAAACTCGGAGTATCGGTGTATCTGTATTTAAAGTATTAATCGACTAAATTCCCTCCCATCATTTCCAACATTAACTTTCTATGATTCTTTCGACGTGTTGCTGTCCCATGATCCTGCCGAAATCAATTTTCACTATTACCGTTTGAAAAAAATTAATTTTGTTTTATAAGACAGTTTCTGGTAATTTATTTTTTTTGTATTTTTACACGTTACATTTACGATCCCGCTTGCTGAAGTGGTGAAGGTTTTTTTTGCTGCACTAAAGACAAATGCATTCAGCTAGATTTCAGTTTAAATTTACGATTTAGTGAACTATTTGTGCAAATTTTGCTGCGAATCTTGCATGAAAGTGGTATTGTTTACTATTACTTTGTATCAGTTTGCTTTTAATTGGAGAATCCTTCGACTCCTCAGTCCGATTCCAGGTTCTGCTTTTCTATTTTTCCAGCGTCATTCAGTGCGCATGTCGTAACGTGGAGGCCACAGTTCGGTAGATCGCCCTTTGATCTTCTGTAGTCCGTACCGTGGGCCGTTTCGTACGGTGTAGTATCTTTGGCTACAAATAATCCCTCATTTACCGTAATAAAATGGCCCCACCGGGAGATTCGCAAACATTTTTTAAGGCCGAGGGTGGAAGAGGACAAACTAGTCCGAAAGAACTTCAAGAAATGGTTTCAAAAGCGACTCAAACTGTCAAGAAAGGAGTGAATGGGATTTTACTTGGCCCGCCTGGAGCTGGTAAAGGAACACAGGTTTGAAGATTCCGTATTCGGTTTTTCGACATTTTCCGTGGACCTTAAGAGATGAGTCTACTCTGCCTTTACTCATTGGCTTGTTTATATTTTGCTTGTTTTGTTTCTTGTAGTTTCTTTTTTTTTTTTGCAACATTACCGTACGATCTTTCGTAAGGCTTCGATGATTCGTCTTACTGATCATAAACAATATTGCATTAACGCGTTGTTGGTTTCTAACCTCAGGCACCTAAACTGGCTGAGAAATATTGTGTTTGCCACTTAGCAACAGGTATGATTTTCGTTTAACAAATAGGTCTCAACGTTAATTGTTGAATCACGATCAATTTGAAAATTCACTCTGATTCATTTCCTCTTACGATTACATTAAACCGGAATTTAACCCTGCCACCACAGGATCTGAATATCAATTGTCCTCGTTATGTGCCTTACTTTTCAAATGATTTTAGCCTTGAAAACTTGTGATGGAGCCTTGACTTTTGAAAGGAAGAGGTATATTATACTCTTTCACTCCCAAAGTCTCATTAGTAATCTTCCTTACTGTCTGCAATACAGTTCCTATAATGTTAGTTACAAGAATTTGGATTCGAATCAACTAATAATCCCCTTAGTTATAATTTCTTTATTCTCATGAGGTGTCTGCTTGATATTGTGTAAATATTGTAAGGAGAAGTTCTGTCTTTATCACTCATTGCAGTCCATGTGCTAAAATTTTTAATGAAACAAGTGAACACACAGCTGTCAGCCTAGCAAAACAGTGTTCTGCTTCCAATTTTTAGGTGATATGCTGAGAGCTGTTGTGGCATCTGGTTCCACTTTGGGTAAAAAAGTCAAACAGGTTATGGACTCTGGACAGGTAAGGAAGACCTCAGATCATGTTCAAAATGTCTCTTCTCAATGTGAATTAGCCATTGAAATAACTGTATTGATACTGAAACACTTTTTTTGAGGCATGTATGTGTAGCTTTTACAATGGAAGAGTCTTTTGGGAAGCCAGGGGCACAAAGAAAGCAAAAGTCGTAGAACAGAAAGAACAGATTACAATATGTAGTTATGAAGCCCACAAAATATTAAGTGATTGAGGGCAGAGGGGTGATGATTATCCTTGCATGGTGTTTGCAGATGCTAAGTTCAAACTTAGTCTTTTAATTTGTACTGTCTGACTTTCATGTATGTTTTAGTATAAGTTGGAGGAGGAATTTAAAGATTGATATACATCAATTGATTACTACGGGGTCATAAGTTGTTTAAGAAACTACCAACAAATTAAAGGAAAAAGCAGAGGAAGGTTTGATACTTTTTCTGGAACCTCTCCATTTCACCAGGTCTCCATGACAATCACTGATTTGGATTGTACTTCTCTTGTGTCCTCTGTACAACAGAGTGACCATCAAAGACAACAAAGTAATCCTTGTCCTCACTGATATTGGTCCTTTTTTCCTGTGTCCTCTGTGCCACAGACTGACCATAAGGCCACTTCTTCTCTTTTTTGTTACCCAGACCACTTTATGATTTTATTATGATCATGGCTGCATGGTGGTTTGTGTACAAAGCACTAGCAATGTGGCACATAACCCATCAGTACCTAGTTACATTCTGCTTAAGTGTTTGATGAAATACCTTATATGTTTTTTTATTTATGATTCTTTCCACCCCACATTTTCAGCTTGTTAGCGATGCTCTTGTTGTTGAACTGATAGATGACAACCTTGGTAAACCTGAATGTGCAAATGGATTTCTCCTTGATGGATTTCCAAGAACAGTGGTTCAAGCTGAAAAGGTAGCTACATGTGCCTTGTTCCTTTTCAGATATCTCTTGTAATTCTCCCCTCTAGTTGCTGTGCATTTATTTTTAATTTAGTAAGTTGCTTAAGTGGGGATTAGTATTCAAATGTGTAGTGTGCTCATCCAGGAGAGAGTGGTCCATCAGAGTGACTCGTGCTTCTGCAATTTGAGTTTAGTTCATCCTGAAAATGAACATTTGTCAGTGAGTTACTGTATATGTACATCTTCATGTTTGTGAAAACTCATGAATCCTTTCATTCCCAAAATCTCTTTACTAATTTTCCTTACTGTTTGCCATGGTTATAAAATACATTTTGTTGCTTTGTTATTTTTTATTGACTGTTGTAAATTAATGTTTTCATGTTATTTTGTTTTGTTTCCAATAAAGTTTTGTGTATTACATGTAAAAAAAAAATTACTGTTTGCCATACATAGCTTATGATTTTAGTCCTGAGAATTAAGTATTGGATTAAATGATAATCTTCTGCTTGATATTTTTTTAAATTTTCACCACTTGTCTGCTTAATACTGTATTGATACTGTGAGGAGAAGGTATGTCTTGGCCACATCAAGGAGTGGAAGGATTAAGAGAACACAGCGGCATATAATAGCCCAATGGAAATTTGGTACTGTGGCCTCTGTGGGATATGGAGGGCCCCCCTCTTCAGGCCCTACTCTACTGATACAATATCTAACCTCCCCTAGCAATTATGTTAGATGTTGGTTTTAGTGTGCATGTACAAGCACATTTGTTTTTCGAAAAAGCTTCATGATAAAAGTACCTGTGCCAAACTTGAAGTAATTATTTCACCTCATTTTGAAGTTATTCATCTATATTTTTTTATCTCAATATTTTTATATTTTTGTTCATGTACCTTCATGTGAAATGAATGTCTGATTTAATTTTGTGTTTCCTCCAGCTCGATGAACTTCTTGAGCAGAGGAAGACAGGACTGGATGCAGTAGTAGAATTTGGAATTGATGATTCTTTGTTGGTGCGACGTATAACTGGAAGGTAGGGCAGCTCATTCATTGGATCATTTGGTTTCACTGGAAAATTTGGTATTTTACAGGTTAAGGGACATTACGCAGATTGTATTCTAATACATTGTGATTGATAATCCATGACATTTCATGATGTTCAGATGTTTTCTACCTCTTTCAGTTATCAACTGAAGTTTAATCATGGCCTCTTTCATTGGAAATGTTATTTTTAGTCAGTCTCTATGACTGCTCATTACCTCTCCTATGTTGCATGGCTTCCTTGGCATCATGTAGAAGAACACGACCCTTGTACAGTAATGTGTCACTAACCTGTAAAATCCCTATGAAGGTTATTCCTGACCCATACTGCTCATTACCTCTCCTATGTTGCATGGCTTCCATGGCATCACGAAGAAGAACACGACCCTTGTACAGTAATGTGCCTCTAACCTGTAAAATCCCTATGAAGGTTATTCCTGACCCATACTGATACAAACCCTTAGCATTAACCCTTTCTCTCCCAACATAGCTTATATATTTAGTTCTGGGAATTTAGTATTGGATCAAATGTTAATCCCCTAATTGATATTTTTTCTATATTCTTATCACTTGCGTACTTGGTATTGTATTGATATAGTAAGGAGAAAATGTATCTTGGTCACTGCTGGGAGTAAAAGGAGTTTAAAAATCATTATGTCATTTGTATCTTGCTCAGTATTAATATATATTTGTTTTCTTTTGGTTATGGTTTCCTGTAAAGCTTAATTTTTGCTGAGTATTGTCATTGGATTGTGTTTGTGTGTTTTGTTCATGTTCATGTACTCAGCTCTCATGCGTAACATCTGTAAAAAGATAAAGGGCAATGGATTATAGCATTACTTCTTGTGTTTCTTTACCTTTCAGATTACTTCATAAACCCAGTGGCAGAACTTACCACAATGAATTTAACCCACCCAAGAAACCAATGACTGATGATGTATGTTATTATTCACTAAAAGAAATTGAAAAAAAAACAAACAAACAAACAAAAAAAGGGAAAAAATAACATTCTAGCACATGATCCATTTTGCACACTTACATAAATTGTATCCCAGTGGGAGGTTGTTAGTAGGATAGTTTGCTACATCTCTACATGTTTTGCCCTTTGTGGTTTGTGGATGGAATACTACAGTACATTCTGTTGTGTTTTCTCATGGCCCACTTTCCATATGTTAAATTTCTCTTGTATAATTTTTTTGGGACCTATTTGTACCCCTGGATAAAGAAAGGGACTGTGAGAGTGAATTGTCTTGCCAACAAAGCTGTATGCTAGGGTCCTGTATTACGTATAATGCATTTCTCAATATCAGCTCATGGGTTTTCATCCAAAATGAATCTGACATGATATTTTCATTTCTATTTAATCAGATTCAGTGGCATCAGTTGCTCCTTTTTTAGTTTTCTTTATATTTTGTTTGTTTGTTGGTTGTTTTTAAATTTTAATTTACTGATTGATTTATTGGTCAGTCTTTGCAGAATTATAGGATTTATATTTAATCCTGTAGACATTCAGATCCATTTAAACCAAACAGGAGTCTTCACAAAAGAAAGCCTTCCAGGTTTCCTGTCCATACTACTCCATTAGCTTTGATTTCGATCAGCGTCTTTGTTAAAATTAACACGAGCACATTGTCGTTTCCAGATCACTGGTGAACCTCTGGTTCGTCGGTCAGATGATAACGAGGCCACTCTAACAAAGCGTTTGGAAGCTTATCACAAGCAGACATCACCGCTGGTTGATTATTACAAGAAGCGCGGACTCCATTCCAGAATCGATGCTGCTGAAACCCCGGATGTTGTTTTTAATAGTGTTCTGAATGAATTTGAAAAAGCTAGAGCTCGGGCAAAGAAATTTTTTTAAGGGCGAATCTTCTTTCGGGTTTCAAAATGAATTAGGTGGTAATTTACTTAGGAAAATCATATAATGTTTTCTTGTTACTTATGAAATGTGTGCAGTAATAAATTTCCGTAGGAGTGTATTCAAAGTGAGTTATGGTCTTTTTCCAGGATATCTTTGGATAAATTAACCTTGAGCTCCAAGAAATGATTAACATGTTACTTCTCCCTACAATAACCATATATTATCCAGCACATAGGTGGTGAGAATATTTGATGTATCAGGTAGAAGTTGCTATCTTGATCTAGCAGCAACTTCTTGTAACTAATTTACAAGGAAAATTTGCAGCAGCTAGAGGGGAGAATTAACAATCAGATCTTGGGAGTTAAAGGGTTAAATCAGCACAAAAGATAAAGATTCTCAAATTCGCTACCTTGTGATTCCTCATGTCCTGTATTTCTTTCCTCAAAAACAAAACAACGCTGTCTTAACATCACAGTAATAGAGATCACCTCTCTTCCTTCAACAAACTTCTGTTTATCAGCCTTTTTTTCTGCCATAAGCGAATTAAAAAGTCAAATTACTGCCTTATTCCAAATCTCGGAAAGTCCATTATTTTCTATGCCTTACACTTCGCCCGAGAATTTGGAGGTGTATTTAAAGCGCATTGCCCAGGCGAAAAGTCTCTTAGTTTCCGTAAATCGTCTGTCCGACAGTGTATTGTGAATGTAAGGAGAGGTAACACACATCAGTGGCAGGGTTAAAGGCTCCATTCTCTGTTCGGGGTATTTTTAGGTGAGAGATAAATTTAAGGCAATCTTTAGAGAATTGAGGTGTACATCTTGGGAGTGACACGACAGCCAAAGTTTTCTCGGGTGGCCAGCTACGTGAGGAGGGGGGTATTGGTGTTTGTGGTGTTGCGTTAGTACTGTGAATAAAATCCATCGTGGCGGTGTTGCGGTCATCTCAAATCCTAGGTGTTGTGGTTTGCGACGAGACGCCTAAAATTATTTGCGTTGTTGAGGTTTCTTGTCTAGTCAACTCCTCTGTAGTGCACATGTAATTGTTGACCCTGTCAATCTCCACGTCAGAACTAAATTTAGGTCAGCGAGAAAAATGCCGATTAGTATGTAAATCGACTTTATTCACCCATTGTATGAAAGTGCGTTGTATGGCTTAGGGATACGTTTATGTGGGACTAATTAGTGTCAAAAAATCGTGCACGAGTACAAACCGGTGTCGGCGTCGATGTTTCATCAAGTTTTCGAGCGGTGATGCAATGTTTCTAGGCACCTTTACCTAGGATCCTGCATTTAAGTCTCTAGCTGACACAACATTTGTTCAAAAGTTCCGTATTCGCTACTGTCGAGATCGTGTTTAAGCGCTCGTCAGCTCAATTTCGTGCCGGAAGTCTGCTGTCAATGCCGAGCCTGTGTACACCTTTCAGTCATTAGCTTCCTTGAAATTTACATTTCAGAATTAAAGGTTCAGACAGTAAAAATTAATTTTTCGATAGGGAAAATACCCTGACTGAATTTCGAACGATATGTTACGCCATACAGTATGGGAGGAACGATGGCAAACGGCAGAGCGAAAACATGCGAGAGGCTCGGATTAGTTTTTACGGCCCGACCCAGAACTCCCTCAACTTTTTTCGCTTCGCCGTTTTGCCGCCCTCCATTTTATTCGCTGACAGGCCAACATATTCTTGTCTTTTGAAACTGAATAGAAAATAGTTAAATCCTCGTAGATTAGGTGCATTTGCGGTTATAATCGCCCAGGGAAATATTTCATGAACGAGTGACCCGATTTCATCATTTACCCAGAAAAGTCGCCAGGCACCTTTTCAACATTTATTCCGTGCGCTGGGTGAAAACCCGCGCTTGTTAGATTGGTGGAAAATTAATAACAATTTTCATTGGACAAACAAAATAAGAAACTAGTTAGTTCCGCTTAGAAATGTAGCGTTTCCTTTGAAGAGTTTACGGCCGAGTAAAGAATAGATTCAAATCGAAACTAACGGTTCAAGCATTCAGAAGCTAACACTACTAACACTTCTTTGGGTTTATCAAAATTATTCTCTATGGCCGTCCCAGTTCTAATGGTTATTTTTAAGTAACCTATTGTCCTCACTTCACGTCAGAGGAGCCGTCTTCGTGCACCTTTGCGATCGCGGAGGTTCAGGTCGAGACCGGAGGGGGTGGATAGGAGATAAGGAGTGTCAACCGCACATCGCCAGTTCTCGCGCCTTGTTCAAGGTATCCAGTGCAGAAAGACGACGTGTTCACGACACTTAATAGTGAAGTCAATGAATTGTTAAGAAAACTACTCCCTGTTTGGCAGCACTCACCCATCCAGAGCATATGAAATAAACGAGCGAGCTCCTTCAACTTCACAGCCAGCCCTCCAAGAGGTCATTTATCTTGCTGAGATGCGTTCTCTTTGTCACATCATCACCTGAGGCTACCGACATTTCCCAGAAAGGAAATGATCTTAAACATGGTCTGAGAACAAATAAAACCACCGCTGTTTAAAATAAGAGAACCAACGGAAGTGACCTAGTTTGGTTACAGAAGTTATAGAACTCAACAAGAGACTGTTATGATCTGGTTAATGATCCAATATGCGTTATTGTTTTGACAGGACTTTGCATAGCTTTATTTAGTGTTTCAGTGTCCATGAATTCGAAATTAATTATAACGTGGCATTCAAAAAAGTTTTTCAAGAAAGATTTTTTCCATGAATGTAGCTAGAAAACTTTTTATTGAAAATGCATTCTTCAAAGATTGACCCCTGATTTTCTGTAAGAACGTTGGCTGGCGAGTTTCTTTTCTTTCGTGTTTTTTAAATTTTTAAATTTTCTCTTTTATTTCGTGTTTTCGCACCGCCCTATCCATCTTCGATAACTAATCATTCCCTACGTCAAAGAAATCAGGAAAAAAAAGTCAAAACTGATTTTTTTCGTCCTCGATGTCATAAAACGATTAGCGGCTCGCCGGTCACCGTGACGGTCAAGGAGAAGATGAAACTCTTCAGTGTGTGACTTCCGATTGTGTTGCGTTACTAGCACGGAATAAACTTTCATTGTGATCTCCTCCATCAGACGCATTTTTTCAGCCTTGAGTCACGTCCGCGATTCGGTACGTGCGGTCATGCTCGAACAAACGCGCTGTAGCCGTGAACAGAATAGAGAAGTAGTTTCACAATACAATAGGACAATCTGGGTCACAGCGTGTATCATGTTTCACTTTTCTTGAACGAGAAATCATCTGACTTTTGGACCGAGGAATATAAAAATAAAAGTGACGATTATACCAGCAGTCTAAATTTGTCCACTTATCGAGGAAGGAAAAGTATACTTATCTTGGAGAAAAATATCGTTTTAAGTCCCTTCCAATATTTTTTTTTGGTACTTTATCGGTTTACAGGATCTGCCCTGCGAGTAAAATAGGACGAAAGCTCTTGTGAAACGAATCAATCAAGCGGAAACCGGAAGTGACATTTGCTTATGTTTAATCCTCTGACGTAAATGGAATCTCCATTTATAGTTGGATTTACTTCAACAGACTTCTATATCCCTTGGACAATTACACAGTCAGGAGTTTCCGTCGAAATCAAAGGTGAAACTTTGTTGGTTATCCATCCTGACCATATAAAAGCAGTGAGATACTCAAGGATTTTCGCACATTAATCTGTGAACTTGTACGGATCGTCGTAGAAACATTCAGCTTTGAAATATTCCATTGATCTGAGTTCAAAACAATCATTGTTCAGCGATCCATGGCCATTTTAACGACCCGAGAAGCGACGCTAAAAGAAGGGTACCTTTTCAAACAGAGTAGAACTGTTTGGAAATTATGGAAAGCACGATTTTTCATCCTTAAAACGACTGGTTTGTTCTATTACAAGAAGAAGAGTTACTGCACCGGTCTGGCGCTTGGGGTGATATCATTGAAAGACATTTCAATGCAAGTTGACGAGGTTGGCGATCGAAGGAGAAAGTTCTGCCTAAAGATTAACGCAGATGGGAAGAACTTTTCTCTTTGTTGCTTTTCCGAGGACGAAAGAAACTCGTGGATGACAGCCATATTAACAGCTGTTACATCGTATGTTATCAACCATTACGAAGGGGCGAAAACCGACGAGATCAGTTACATGACAAGAGGTAAAAGTCTATCGCGCTCCAAGTCTTTCGATGCAATCACTGGCGCAAAGCTTAATCCTCCGAAAGCTTCAACCCTGAGTACCAGCGCTACTGATCTAGATCGAATAGTGTTGCGAGATGCGAAGTCAACTCCGCTTCCGAAAAGAAAGCAAAAAGCATTCTCCCATTGGGATTTCAAATGGAGAAACAGCTACATAAGCTTTGACGTGATTTGATCGGCGAGAGAACATTACATTTTTTTTATTTAAACGAGATTGCATCAGTGAATTAAATTATCAACTGAAATACAGGTCATATTTTGTACATACATTTTGGATGATTTTTTTAATCCGCAAGGAAAGAAACATTGACGTTTTTAAGTGTACGGATAGAAACCACAAGTTAAGTGCCGGAAGTTGCAGTATTTGTGTCGGCTTGGAAAATATTGTACCTACGTTCCGTTTGTAAAGAAACCTGCTCGAATAATAGCGATATCTGTATTAATGATATTATTGTAAATAGTATTTCTTTTGTAAATAACGATATCAGAAATGTTTTAATATATGCTGATTACATGATTTGATACATAATAAAAAAAATATCTATTTAGAGCTTTTTGTTAAATATTTGCGGACAACCTATGACGTGCTATGAGATATTTTATACTTGACGTATGCATCGTTTAAAATTAACCGTTTATATCCATAGAGCTGAAGTAATCTGCCATACATTTGACTTCATAATCTTTTTAACAGAGTCAGATGAAGCCTCTTCCAAATTTGTATACAGACAAGCACAAGCTCAACGATCACGTTTTTACATTCTCAAAACCTCGGAAGTTGATGTATTTCTGATCTTGAAAGAAAAATTCGGCTTTAACCGTTGGCTTGAAATTTTATGCGGTCATAGGAAAACTCGACAGTGTGGGCTTTTCTGAGAATTTGATGCCAAAGGTGAAGTATTGACGTTCGATTGCTGATTATCCCCAAATTCATAGGTTTGATTCAGAGGTATGCCTCGATTTCAAGTTGCCTTTAGTTCGGAAATTAAGCCGAACTCTAAACGGAACTCTGAACTTAAACAAATGATCTAGTTTTGTGAATGATTTTTTTTTCTGCGCTACATATGCACGAAAAATAAGCTAGTCTTTTTCCTGATTGCGAATAAAAAGTCTTTGTTATCCAATGCTTCGGGGAAGGTGACTGAAGGAAGCGCAATATTTTCCCGTGAAATCGTTCAGTCTCGCCCACAAGGCTGGAACGCTTTTTTTTTTTTTTGGCGGTATTCTCAAGTGGTTGAAATCACTAAGTCATCACTAAGACAACAGTGGGAACGCCTTTTACGAGAAAGTACTAGGTCTGGAAAATCTCTCATCCAGCGTAGGAAATATTCCGCATGCCGTAAAGTCCACTGTCTTACGAATTACAAAACTAACCACTATTTGTTGTAGGAGGATTAGTTCATGGTATTAACGTGTGCAACAAGCATTTTATCACCGTATCCATCGATATCGGCAAGTGTTTTTAAAATCAGTTTTAAAAGCCAATTGTTTTAGTTTTCTTTCTCCTATTTGGTCATTGAATGTATAATATCACTGATATTAATTGTTAATCAAACATTTCGCCGTGGCTGAACAAAAATGAATACAATCACAATAATAAAAAACAAAACAAAACAAACTAAAAATTACAATAAACTCAGTGCAGAGAAAAGAAAAAAGGTTTTGTGCTGCTAAAGTGAAAAAGATTACGACTTAGAACTGTAGCCCACCAATCTCGAGCCCAGGGTCAATTAAATTTGGCTCCTTGTCAGCGGTATGGTCGTCATTTTTCCTGAAAAATATGCAAAAGAAGCTTTTAAATCTTGGTTGCTAAAGAAACGTCAGGTAACATAAATAGACATCTATCTTATGTTCCCGCATAGGTTGCGGACAATTATCCGCTTGAATGATTTATGAGTCAGAGGGAGCAACGCAGTTCTACACTTTGTCACGCATTCTAAACTTACATGTAACACTTGTATAATCATTTGTATCTCTTGTTATCTCAGTTTCTGATTTAAATCCGTACTTTGAGTTCTTTTGCGATGTACAGTAAGATCCGCTCTCTTGGCTGCTTAGAAAGAAATTGATCGATCCGATTTCTCTGAGTGTTATTGTTGTTCCGGTGTGATAGTTTTTTTATTTTGTTTTGTTTGTTTTTGTGTGGTACGTTGAAGATAAAAAAATTGTCTGTTGATCACTACATGCTTTCCTTGAGGTAACTTATATTCAAGATGATGTTCTTGCCCGATTTTTTAGCGAACAATTTGCATTAAGGTTCTGCGTTTTGCTGTCTGCTTGAGTTCCTGTATGAATTAAATATCCATTCAACGTTTCTCGGAAAAACTTACACTAATTCAACATATTCTAAGAAACATACGAGATGTTTACTCTGTATTGTCCAATTTCCAATTCAAAATAGATGTGCGTGGTAGGACTAGACTGCGAAAAACCACGTAACTATACAGATTATCATTAAACTGAACGTTTCACATCGATACTGAACGTCTCACATCGATTTTTATCGTTATAATTATTAGAATGAGCTTGAATGAACATTGCGGTTGGACACTGAGCAGTAGGCCGAGCTCAGTTCTTAAATAACTATATACAACAAGCTTTTGCCTCTGTTAATCGATAACAAGAACTATTTCTCTACACATGACTTAGTGTTGTTTTAGAATGTTTCCGTATTTATGTTATAATATATATGAAATGAATCTACATTACTCAATAAATATGTAATCTTTGTTTGTTGAAATTTAAATCAAACGCCTGCATTTCCTTGCCAAGATGCCTAGCTAACATAAAGACCAGTCCAGGTATCACCATGGCAGCTATTGGCAACTCAGTATATTGCCGTGCAACCGTGCAGAAAGCTAAGCCATTTCCACCTCCTGAGGAGGTTTGCGTGACTGCGTAATGTTCACAACGAATCAACGATGGTCTAAATTTCGTCACGCAAGAAAGGGATTCTAGTGCGCCTTTCATTTCCAAAGGCGCTATAGAAATCAAATAAATATTAAGTAAACAGATAATTAAAATGGAAAAATAATCAACCGAAGAATACTGAATTGATCAGACGGGGAATTTTCTGGAGTAGCAACTAGAAGAGGTATATATGGAACTCAAGAGAGAGAGTGTCTGCTTAGAACTGCAAAGTGAAAGGGTCAGTATGACTTGGAGTAATCTTCCTTCCTAACTTGACCTATATTGGAGGAGTGGAAATGAAATAAAAAAGTAATGATAAAGAAGGGAAATGAAATAAAGCAGACAAACGATAATTAAAAAATAATAATGATAAGAAAATACAGGATCTGCGCCGCGCGGAAACTGGTGATGAGAGTCTCAATGAGATCTACCGTTTGCCGTTGACAAATTTTTTAGGGCCTATCCACAATAAGTCGTAAAAAAATTAACCGTAAAAAATTATCTGGTAAGAACAATGGAAAGATATAAACCATTAGCCGTAAAATGGCTAAAATTGAAACCGTTTCTCGTAAAAGCCATCATCCCATTGAGACCCTCTTTATAACGGAGTATGATTTTGTGTTTAACTCAATGCTTCTTTTAATTAATAAGTATTCTATGGTGGTTCTTGATATTTCTCAATTACAGAAAGTGAAAGAAACATTGACGTTTTTAAGTGCATGGATACCACACATCTATTAATATAAATCAACACATCTTTTGTTTAAGTCGAGTGCCAGATGTTGCAGTATTTGTGTAGGCTTGGAAAATATTATACCTTCGTTCCGTTTGTAAAGAAACCGTGAAAAAGTTCTCGAATTATAAGATCTCTGTAATACTGATACCATCGTAAATAGTATTTCTCTTTGCAAATAACATCAGAAATGCTTAATATATGCTGATTACATTATTGGATACGTAATGAAGAAAGAATCTATTGATAGACTTTTGTCAAATATTTGCGGACAACCTATGACGCGACGAGCTATTTAATTAGACATTTTATACTTGACGTATGCATCGTTTATAATTAACCGCTTGTGGACCTAGAAATGAAGTAATCTGCCAAATGATTGCATGCGGCAGCTATACATTTGACTTCGTGATTCTTTTGGTAAATAACGATATCAGAAATGTTTTAATATATGCTGATTACATGATTTGATACTTAATAAAGAAAGAATCTATTTGGAGCTTTTTGTTGAATATTTGCGGACAACCTTGAAGTGCTATTAGATATTTTATACTTGACGTATGCATCGTTTATAATTAACCGTTTATAGACCTTGAGCTGAAGTAATCTGCCATACATTTGACTTCATAATCTTTTTAAGAGAGTCAGTCAGACGGAGCCTCTTTCAAATTTTTATACAGACAAGCACAAGCTCAACGATCACGTTTTACATTCTCAAAACCTCGGAAGTTGATGTATTTCTGATCTTGAAAGAAAAATTCAGCTTTAATCGTTGGCTTGAAATTTTATGCGGTCATAGGAAAACTCGGCAGTGTGGGCTTTGCTGACAATTTGATGACAAAGGTGAAGTTTTGACGTTCGATTGCTGATTACCCCCAAATTAATAGGTTTGATTCAGAGGTATGCCTCAATTTCAAGTCGCCTTTAGTTCGGAAATTAAGCCGAACTCCAAACAGAACTCTGAACTTAAACAAATGATCTAGTTTTGTGAATCTTTTTTTTTTTCTGCGCTTCATATGCACGAAAAATAAGTTTGTCTTTTTCCTGATTGCGAATACAAAGTCTTTGTTATCCAATGCTTCGGGAAAGGTGACAGAAGGAAGCGCAAAATTTTCCCGTGAAATCGTTCAGTCTCGCCCACAAGCCGGAACGCGTTTTTTTGCGGTGTTCTCAAGTGATTCAAATGATTTATCACTAAGACAACAGTGGGAACGCCTTTTACGAGAAGGTATTAGGTCTGGAAAATCTCTCATCCAGCGTAGGAAATATTCGACATGCCATAAAGTCCATTGTCTTACGAAATACAAAACTAAACACTCTTTGTTGTAGGAGGATTAGTTCATGGTATAACGTGTGCAACAAGCATTTTATCACCGTATCCATCGATATCGGCAAGTGTTTTTAAAATCAGTTTTGAAAGCCAAGTGTTTTAGTTTCCTTTCCCCTATTTGGTCATGGAATGTATGATATCACTGATAGTAATATTGTTGATCAAACATTTCGCCATGGCTGAGCAAAAATAATAACAATCACAATAAACAAGAACAAAACAAAACAACAATTACAGTGAACACAGTACAGAGAAAAGAAAAAGAGTTTTGTGCTGCTAAAGTGAAAAAGATTACGACATAGAACGGTAGCCCAAGCTTTCTTTGAAGAGTACTACCAATCTCGAGCCCAGGGTTAATTTGGCTCCTTGTCAGCGGTATGGTCGACATTATTTGCGTAAGTACGTCATGTAAGGGTAATTATTATGGACTTCACTGTACGTTATAGTAAGAAAAGGACATAATATGTAGTGAGTAGATAATATCTCGCCATTGGCGACCATACCGCTGACTAGGAGCCAAAATAACCCTTGGCTCGAGATAAGAGTACTTGTCAGGCTTGTTAAACAGCCGCTGCTCAGTAAGTGAGCCCACTCTACAGCAGAAATCAAGGCTAACTACGAGAAAAAAGATAGTTTTGGTGTTATCAACCGAGTTGATAATGTAAATAATGGGCCACCGAAAAAAGGTTCAAAGCTGGAGTTTCGAGCGTCAGCCCTTCTTCGGAGCGTTTCGTCTTAGTTACCCTCAGCTCCAAATCTACATACCACAAGACAAAGCAATGAAAATTAGAAAGTATCACCTGACATTGCAGTGCTACCCAAGCATATGTAATGGTGAAAAATTTAAAAAAACCTCGCTCATTGAGGGCACAGTCCCTTTCCTAAGGTATATGCAAATGAAGCTTTTAAATCTTGGTTGCCAAAGAAACCCTAAAAGATGACAGTCATAGGATTGCTATTGTTAGGTCATGTAACAGTCGCAGGATTCTTTCGACCAATCAGCAAGTGCCTAATGTATCGTGCATAAAATCAGCTCCTGAGAAGTGAAAGATACACAGATGCTAACCAGTTTATTTCATCACATCATGAACTTCCTGTTTTTCTGAGAATGTCACGCAATGGTATGCGAGCAAAATTTAAATAGGATTTTTTTTTACTAACAAACTTTACAAGTGAGAACAATAGCAATCTGGTGACTCATTTCTTTGGGAAAATTCCTTATGCACCATAGACTTCCTTACTCAAAATGTTTTGTGCGCGACTGAGAAAACAAATACGCCACGGTGACACTGTTCATTTAAGCCCTCCACTCAGTATAATTTCATGCAAGAGTTCACGCTTGTATTATGGTTTGCGCCTTTCGATTTCGCTAACTGTGAGTTACGTTGATTCCTTGTGTTTCTTCCCAATTACCTGTTTCCTGTCTCATTTTATCGGTCCACGATGGCTGCTAGGAAAATTTCTAAAAAATCAAGTGATCAACCTGATTTTTCAGAGTCCTTGTTGTTTAGTGATGTAGTTTTTGTGGTCGAAGATAAAAAATTCCACGTCCACCGGTATATTCTTGCACAATGGTCGCCTGTGTTTGAGACGATGTTCTCTTCAGAGTTTAAAGAAAAGAACTTGAGCGAGATTCCTCTTCCAGACAAAAAGGCGAGTGAGTTCAAGGAACTTTTGCTGCTCATTTATTCCACTGTATCTGGCGAAGCTCTGAATACCATCAACGACACCAATTGCCAATCTTTGCTCAGGCTCGCTCGAGAGTATCAAATAGAAGCTATTTATAAGAAGTGCGAGGAACATATCGTCAAAAGGATAAGAAATGCACCAGGAAATACCTTCATGGCAGACATGATATTTGCACAAACCTGTAACTTTGAGAAACTTCTTAAAATCAGTGTCGAGAAAGCTATTAACCACTTACGGTTGGATGATATTAAGGGGCATGAGGTGTTTGATCAAATCGAGCCACAGATTTACAAACAAATCTTGGAAGGAATCATTCAAAGACTTGAGGAGCCAGTAATCTGTGGTTACTGCGGTTCTAGAGTTACCGCTAGAAGAAAAGAACTCCCCAGCTACTATTAGTAGAGGTAGATATTATTAGAACATGAAAAATATGCAAAATCTGAAAGGTCAACTTTTATGTTTTGAAAGCCTCGATAACAGAATAGTTTAGATGCTCACTTTAGAGAGATATTTCGATTCAGAGAACTGATGACACAGCTAGCGTCAAAGTGATATTAGGCACTTTACGATTGGTAGAGGAAGACAGGGGATACGAACGAGAAATCATTCAAGGACATACTTAAAGGACTGAGCAAAGTGCTATGACCGACGAGAACTAGACTAAGCTGAGTAATTAATCACGTGACCTCAAATTCTTTATGATCTTTAGGCTATCATTTGTATGCACACAATTAGGGCGCGACTTTATATACATAATTATAAGAAAAGCGCGCGCTAGACAATAGTAAATAGTATTCTTCATTAATTAGAAACTTTTGTTAGTTCCCTGGACAAGAAACTCGCAATTTTTAGAAAATGTCTTGGCCTTTACTTAAAATACAGTGAACGAAAACTTGCATAGTTGGCCGATGGGATTGCAGTATACATAATGAACACCTGGAGTCATGAATCAAATATAAAGTTTAACTCCTCCAAATTCAAAGACCGGGAACTACACTACACTACTGCATAAATGTTAGTGGATATGTTACTTTTGTCACATAAGGCCGATCTCGTTCTAAGAACCCTACCCTCGTACTAAAACCTGCTCACGGTAAAAACGCAACTTTCTAGGTCTCATTTTTCAATAGAATTGTAAAACCCTGGAACATTATCTGCAATCTTGCCCCTCATGACAAGTTTTCTAGTCCAAGTACGTTTAAAAATTATTTTACATCACTAGACACTACTTACAATATTGACATGCCCTGCACCTGGTTCCTCTCCGGTAACTACCCTTGCCACCGCTCTTAATTTCTATCCGATTGATTTTTATTGCCCTTTACTGTGCAGTATTAGTAATTGATTAGATTTAATGTAATTTTATTAAAATTTAAATTTATTATCAGATTTTTTTATTCAGATTTTGGGTTACGCCTTACATGGGATACTTTTCCTGTTCGTGCAATCTCTTTTATTCTTTTCATTTCTGCCATTGAATTACTATATATGTATATAACTTATGAGACCAATAAAGTTGATAAGAAGATAAGATGATTGCAAGTGTAACATACTGAGCTAGTGTCAGATGAAAAGTTACTCCTCAGGGCGTGCTTGGTGCATGCGTCAATTTTTCTATTCAAGGTCAAAAAAATGGTGAGATTAAAAGGAGGTGGGGTGCAAGAGATGCAAGGGAATATCTATGACAACTGTTAACATTTAACCACAAAAACTGTGTTTCATTTTATTAGTTGACCAATTCCTTATTACAATATGTTTAATTCACCACAAGCATCTACTCGGTGCCTCCCGCGTATTCCAATACAAGAAATTGAAATTTCTACACATACTCTCCTAAATATGTAATAATACCACATATGACTGCCTTAGTAAGCCATTTCTAATGGATTAGAACAATCATGGGCGGCTCTACATGTTCTAAGTATCTAAAGTGATGATTATAACTTTCATGTTTCCTGAGTTATAGAGTTTAGTCGATCTCTATTGAAAGAAAGCCAGAACATGAGAAAGTTTTACGAAGTCTCGAAAGTGCTCGATAAGCGTACAGACTCCCACGGTCGCGTTCAGTACCTCGTCCGCTGGCGTGGCTATGGAAAGAAGAACGATAGCTGGGTGGATGAAGCCGACACAAACGAGCGCCTTAAACAAAGTTGTTTATTGGCCAAAATCAATTTTATGCACAAACGTGTGAATAGGACCCGGGGACCCGTTTATCGAAAGACCCGGTCATTTTACAGACCGTGGAAGCCATATTGGTGAGGAGTAGAATCACGGGTTATATATCCCGGAACCCGGAAAGTGCCTTAAACATCTGGAATTTAATTCTAATGTCCAATCAAGAATTAACCACGAATTAATTAACAAGTAACATTAAGGTAACCATATACCATAAATATATACTATATATACTATAAACAATACTGACAGAAAAGTAGGAGGCCCTTCGCTATTGGGTTAAAGAATCAGGCGACGTTCTCAGCTTTTTTATTGTTAAAAAAAATACTTAGCTTGTTTCATATCAATTCACATTTACTAAAACATTTAAAAGTTATTTTAATAATAAAAAATGAACTGGATGGTTGCCATGATTACAGTGATAACGGCAAGTTCATGAAAACTGATGTCATATATGTGACTGTTCAACTCATTGATCTGGGCTTAACGGCACAATGTCTGAAATACTGAAAAAAAAAGTAGCTGTCAACCTTATCTCGCAGTCTTCATCAGCAGAGTGATCTCTGCGTTACCACATGGTTATTTGATGTTTGTTTATCGACAAGTAGTTGATAATAGCGGATAATTTAAAGCCTCCACCTCTGTTTGACGTTGGACGTTGGTCTTTGATGTGAACAGCTTCTTTGAGTTTGTTTTCGATGTCCACGGACTCTTTACCAAGGATAAATACCCTCGTCCCAGTCGATATCGTGACTGACCTTTGACGGTGGCGATCTCAGGTCAGAGATAACTCTTGCATTAAACATGCAACCACGTGACGACGCAGAGCTCACCGTTTGCTGACGAGGACTTAAGAAAAACGTGACTCACGTCAGAATGACTTACAGACCTAAAAACCTCCTGGATTTTTCCGATGAAAATCAAATCCTAAACGGGTAGTGATAGAACCAAAGTGTTTGTTGAGTAAAATGAAGAAATAGATGAATATGTAACGAACGGTTTTAAAATCGAACGCTATTCCAGGTTATAACACCCGCACATAATATGTGATATTCTTCTAACAATAGCACAAACAATAACTTTCTAAGCCATTGTTTCGTAGCTCCGCCTTGACAAGTTAATGAGCTTAAGCAATATTCCCTGAGGAGGAACGAGCGCGTAATCTTTGACCAATCTAAGCTCTTCAGAATATCTTTCGCCGCTAATATTACGGATCTATCATTTTTTCGCTACTGCAAGTAAATGTCCCGAGAACAATAGGCATTCTACGCGATGAATAAATTAAGGTTATAAAACCTACCCTCTCTCGGTAAGAGGAAAATAAGTAGAAATAGTTCAGTCCGCCCTTTGATTCGGGGCTAAGATTGTAAAAAAAAAAAAAGGAATTTGTACACATCTTTATCAAACAAGAAGGAAAGGAGGAAGTGTGTTCATGTGTTTTTCACTGCATCCTGCGAATTTCACAAGCCAACATTTGATGCACGCAAATAAAAATATATATATATACTGCAAAGTACTTATTTCCATTCCAAGGATTCAAGTATCTCTTTCATCGACTCCAAGTACTCCCCAGCTTTGCTCAAATTTTTGCAAGGTGACCTTTTAGCCGATCTCTTATATTCGGAACAAATGTCACTGTCGAATCTTACGACTGTAATATTTTTGTCAACATCTTCAAAATATTTTCTTGCATGGTGGTCTACTTTTTGAAGGGCATGGCATTACCTCATATTCGCTTGCTTTACCTCGCCTCATTAGTATTGATCGTAGCTAAGGCAATCCGCCACCATAAATAGTGTAACATTCAGGGCTTTTGGAGCACAGTTAGATTGATGTGATATGCAGGCAAAATAATGAGCTGTGACTTTCATTACGTTTGCGTCACCCCAGCTCATCGAATGTCGCCTTGAACGCAACGCGGACGGTGGTTAATTCCCAAGGGCCTTTTTGTAATTCATCGAAAACTGTTTGGCAATCTTTCAATTGCTTCATTTTGGAGAGGGGATATTACAACAGGGTGTTAAATGTTGATAACGAGGTCCTTCTTTTTATCATAGAGCGCAAAGTAGCGGGAAAATGGTTCAGCGGAAATGGGTTTCAGAAAGCATCTACATCACGTACGGACCCATTGCAGAATATCTTGCTTACCTTTCTTCCATTTGTTATGAAATATTTGGAAATATCGAAACCAAATTATAGGGAGGGGGAAGGGGGTTCCATCCATGCTTAAATTTCTTTCTTTACCACGATGAGGAAGTGTCAGTTAGCTGTACGCCCAAGGATTTGAGTCATAATTAAAAAAATATATATGAACAAGACGTAAGCTTGGAAACTGTGGCAATAGGAATATTTTTATCTATTACTCCAGTTCTGTAGAGAGGCTTTGTTGCTGTTATTGTTCGCAGTTTATTACTCTGTTTTTTTGTAATTGTTTTGTATTTGTTTTTTATTTTTTGTTTTTTGTTACATCTCTGTCAAATTAAATATCGTGCAATTAAAGACAATAATAACAATAAAATGATTGTATTTTACAACTAGAATGTGCAGTTAGCTGCAAGGAAAACTTAAAAAATTTATTTTCGGGAATTAATAAATTTACAGCTTATTGTTCTGTCTTTGTGAAAGGCTAATGTATTCAGTTCCACAATGTTTGGAACCATCGTAGAATAAATCATATTTACATTACTCAATAAATATATATATATATGTATATATATATCCTAGCCTATTGCATGGCATACCTTTCGGTAAAGAATATTAAATTACTTGAAGATCAACTGTTATGTTTCATTCAAATTGCCTGGATTAATAACCGGGTCATGCCTAAACATAAGGTTAACCTCCCATGAATTCTCTACTCTCTACCTTGATCCTGCTCACATATAATCTGTCTTTAGATTAAGGATCTAATTACTGCCTGCAGTGATGTAGTTTTGTAGGATAAGTTTTGTAGGATGAGAGTCGCGACTCTCTACCTTGATCCTGCTCACATATAATCTGTCTTAAGACTAAGGATCTAATCACTGCCTGTAGCATTACTGCCTGCAGTAATGTAGTTTTGAAGGATGAGTTTTGTGGGATGAGAGTCGCGACTCTCTACCTTGATCCTGCTCACACATAATCTGTCTTTAGATTGAGGATCTAATTATTGCCTACAGCATTACTACTTGTCTTTACTGCCTACAGCATCCTTAGGATGCTGCAGGTAGTAACAGTCATATTAGTATCATCTGCTTACATTCTTGAGGTAAGATAGTCAATCGGTTAGTATATACCACACAAGTGAAAAATGCCTTTTTCGCAGCTGATTAGCTGGTGCGGAAGAGAATAGAAAGAACTGTTCACCTCCGACAGCCGATATTTATTAGTATTTTAAAAGAGATGGACTTATTCTTTAGTATCTGTGTGGTATGTAACAAAACAAGTATTCATCAGTGTCGGTGAAAGTGTTGGATATCACTATTCACCTCAACTTCGGTGAATAATTGTTTAATGTTGGTATTAGAAATAAAAGTGGCCCAAGCTTCGACCCTTGACATGGGGAACTCCACACCATAGAGTGGCTTCTTTAGAAGAGTACTCCGTTTACATGTACGATCTGAAATCCTTTTAATAAATAAGAGTGTTTACGGTGTAAAATTTACACCATTTTAAGGCATGGCCACGCACTCCGGTATACTCTGATTTATAGTAAACAAAGGCTGGTGGTATACCGTGTCAAAGGCTTTTTTTGGATCTAAAAAAGTGGGTGGATGGATAAATAGATGAGTGAATAGATGGATAGATAGATGGATGGATGGATGAATGGGTAGAAAAATGGACAAGCACCGTAATGGAGGCCGAGGGAATGATGTGAGTGGAACCTAGATTACGGAGAGTGTGAAAACAGAGAGGCGGATGATCGAAAGAAGAATAAGAATTTAGGAGCAGAGGTCTCTTTTACTCTCCCACCAAAATGCCGAAAAAAAAAAAAAGTTAAAAAACGTCGCTCTTTCACTCGCCTTCACCGAGTAAGGGCTTGGAACAGCCTACTTAACCCTTTCACTCGTCGGTAATTCTCCTTACTGTCTGCCACAGAATTCTTATGATGTTAGTTTGGAGAATTTGGTATTGAATCAACGTCGATCTGTCCTTTCTTATCTGCTTGATATTGCATTGACACTGTAAGAAGAAATTCTCTCTTGGGTCACTCATGGGAGTCGAAGGGTTCATGCGATTTGTCCATCGTTAGGCCAAAGAGAGTCCAGCAGAACTGCCATGGTATATAATGGAGTGGAGTCAAGTAGGACATTCCCAGTAATGAATGTAACAATACATGGTTGCTTCTCCTGTAGTAAGTGTTCCTTCGCACTTACACACGTACTTTCTTTCTGGGCCATTAACAGTGGATTCTAATCGCCAATTTTTGGCGTCATTTGTGTCACAATGCACGCTGATTATTCTTGTGCCCTAATAAACAATCAAACATAAAGACAAACAAACGAAAATAAATAACTAGCATTAACAGGGCATTAAGTTATTTTAAAGAGTTTCTCTCTGTATTATTGCCCACCTCTCCAATCCCTAGGGTTGAGACAAATTGTCAGACCGTATATTATTGAAAAGTATTTATTGATAATATCGATTTCATTCATGTTTTAAGTAGCGTCTCATTCTCATGACAAACTAATGGTGCACCTGTGGCCTTTTCTCTTACAGCTATGTTCATATTTTATTCAAAATTAGTACGTCCTTCCATCCGTTCGTACGTTTCTTTGTTTTACAATAAACCAGTCGGAAAGTCCTTCAGTTGCTCGGTCGGTAGTTTGTTTATTCAGCCAGTTAGTCGGTCGGTCTATCGGTCAGATGCACGGACGTTCCTCTTGTTTAGTCAGACAGTTAGTCAGTCGTCCGGCGGTAGGGCAGTCAAAAATAAGATCGGCTACAAATGATCAGACAGTCGGGCAGTTGGACAGTCAGGTAGTCAGACAATCAAACAGACAGAAGGAAACTAACGAGGTTAGATAGTCCGGAACTCAGTAGCTATGTCAATCAGGCGGCCAGTCCGCTTGTCAGTTAGTCCGCCAGCCAATCAATCCGTTTGTAAGCCATTTAGTTAGTCCGGCAATCAGTCTGTCTTTCAGACAGTTAGTGAGACAATTAGAAAGTATGTCTGTCTGTCTGACCGCAAGTTTGTATTTCATTCTGTCTACTGAGTCAGTCAGACAGGCAGATAGTCAAACTACGGATTGCCTTGATCGGCGTGGAAACTGTTTAATATCATAGTAAACGGCCCTTAAGGTAGATAAAAACGTTGGAATTTCTTTCTTACTTTTTGTTCTTTTGCAGATATTGATTGCCTTGCGCTTGGATCAGCAGTAAAACCTCCAGAGCTAATTGTTTTGTATTGACAAAGCGTTAGATTGACTCCAGGACCTGGCAATCCACGCGGTCCTACTGGTCCGGGACCACCAACTGGGCCCTGTGTACCGTTATACCCTGGAAGTCCCCTGGGTGGGACAATCTTGGACATGTTAATCACCTGTGTTAGAAAAAGGAGCAGTTAGACCACGAAAACCCTGTCCTTAAAAAGGATCATGATCGTTAAACTCCACATGATCAGAGTAGTTGCGTTTCTAAAATAATCCAAGGATGCATCTTTCTGCTTTGCAACGTTCTGTGATTGATCCGGAAGCACTTAGACAGGGAAACTTTTTAAATGATTTTGTGATATTTTTACTCCTTTGCAACCAATTGAACACAATTATATATGTAGGCGTGCGTAGTAAAGGGCTGAGATCCAATCGACCCGATTTGCGACATTTGTTGGTTTTCTTTCGTCATTCTTTTTGTTTTTGTTGGGTGTGGTTTTGTTTTCGAAAAATTAAACCCCTCAAAGTCGCAGGTATCTTAGCTCATTTCTCTTTATTGTATCAATTATGGAATATGACATTTTTGAAAGGTCCCGCGTAGCGCAGAATGTAGAGAGACTGTAGATTATTCGACAACTAACCTGTTTCTTGACATCCAGGAGTTCATTTTCTGACGAATTCAATTTGCGCCACAAATCGGACAAATCCTCGTGCTCTAAAGAACTTACGTTGAGGTAAGTAATCGCTCGTCTCTGCGACAAAAATAATAAATCAATTATTTAATGCACGAATAACGCATCAAACTCATAACGCATTCATTTTTGAATACCGAAACCAAATCATAAAACATTCAGCCTTTAGTTTCTCGGTTTTCAAAACAAATCAACGACAACAAATTTATCAAAATAACATCACAATACAATTTGCATGCGGTTGACAGAATTTTCTTGCGCAGTACTTACGTTGTGTAAAACTTGTTGTCGAGTCTTCTCATACTCTTCCCTCAACTTTGTCAAATTATTCGAAATCATTTTTACAGATTCAAGCAGATGAATTCTTTCCTGAAAAATTGATTATAAAGATATAAACATAAAAAAAACAAGGCGTGTTTGCGGCTATACTTTTATGAATAAAACAATTTTTAGATATCACAAGGAGGAATATATAAAATAATTATTATAATTATTCAGAGACCAAAATTTTGTCTGTTTCGACAACATGACATCTTCACTGGGTGCAGCGAAAGGGTATTTTACTTTACCAACATAAGAAAATTTTAATTCAGTTTTTTTTTTCTCTCTCTTTTTTCCTAACATGTACAGAGAAGATTATTATGAATAGGAGTTACTTTTTTCCTACTTCGGAAGTTAAAGCAGCATTTGCACGAGCTGAGTTTTCGTGAAGGTGATCTTTGCGTTCATAGCTCCTGATGCGTATGTTAAAATTATTCTTGATTTAGATATTTTATCAATATCCTTGCATTAAACAAAACATCGCATGTCGGCTTGTTGATACGAATTCACCATCTCGCGCTAAAAATTTAATTCCTACGCAGTCAATTTCATCCGTTAGCGTTTCTTCTTCGTGCCGCTCTAAGGGCCTGAATCCTGACCATGTTGCCTAAAGAATGAATTTACTTACTGCGTTTAAATCACTGATAGCTTCCTGAAGGAAGGTAAAGTTTTTTTTTAAGTTTTCCATGCTCGAAATATTCGTCCGCAGTTCTTTCATATTTTCAGAGGTAATTTTCTGGAACTTCTCACCTGCGAAAAAATGAGTGCGTAAGAAGAACGACCTTAAAAAATGGCAAGTTGAAAAATATTATGTTAAGGTTGTTAAATGTTAAGTTTGTCAAATATTAAGTTTTGGCACTCTGTGTGCCATGCACAACTTAGACTATTGTAACGTTGCTTGTTCCATAGCTGATAAAATGGGTACGGTTAAATCAAAGGGTCATGATCTGAGTTCTTGATCTCTTGGTCATTTATGAAACCCGCTATTTCCTATATTTTTTTTTCAAATGAGTTTCAAGGAAGTGCGCACGCTGGCCTAAGGGAAGGGCACAAAAAAGCAAAACCTCACGCGTCAAGTCTACATTGCCCATCATGTTTACATTGAACATTATTTACAACCAACCGCAGGACCAGTCTATCACTGAATGGTCAAGTCTGCTTGGACTCAACGCAAACTTGACCATTGATGGGGGTCTGAAAGTTTAAAAAACCACAATCATAACAATCTCTTATTGGGGATTAACGGAATTAACTAACCCCAGTAAAATGATAAGTTTAACCCCCCTGAAAATATCTGTAAGACTGTGAAGCTAGTGGAGTCACAGATAGTCTGGAACGTTATGCATTTAAATCACTTCCACCAACATTGCATTTTATCTGAATTTCCAGAAAGAATATATTTTTATTTTCTTTTGACGGAGGAGAGGATTATTAGGTGCTTGAAAAATCCCAGGTGGGTCGTTGAAAACTAAAAGTTGTTTCGTGTTCAGTCAAACGATACTTCAACACAGCGACAATCCGGCAATTTATGATCCAATTTTTATTGTCTGGCACGATGAAACTCGATGAGCTATAGAGTCCTTGACCCTTGCAATCCCAAGATCTTATTAGTTATTCTCCTTAGTGTCTACTATTCTATTCTTATGAAGTTATTTCAGAGAATTTGGTATTGGGTCAACTAATAATCCCCTAATTGATATTTTTACATACTCTTCACTTTTCTGCTTGAAGAAGAAATGTGTCTTGGTCACTCATGGGAATTGAAAGGTTAACAAGTTTCCTTTTTCAAAAAACTGGCTTGTTAGGTTTCAGAAAAGGGACTTACGATGAAAAAAAACTTGCTCATATCGCATCAATGTTTCTAAGGAAATAGTGTTACGAGGGAAAATGATAATTAGTGACCTTGCTAGTTTAAATCAAGTCCAAACGAAACATAACTAAGGATCTAGTTGACATTCCGACAGGTAAATTTATAACTTCCTAGACGTAAATCCTTTCTCGAGGTTATAATACCTCTTTAGGGCTAATCTAAAAAAAATGACACCGCTGTATAGGGTTTCTGAAGCGGTGAACGATGCGGAAAAGTATTTTCCTCTGCACGACTATTCAGCCTTGATACTACGTCTGTGGAAAACAATGCGAACATATGTTGAATGCACGTGCACAACTCTTGTTCGACTACTATTTTAACGGCTTTTACTTGGGATTTCCGCAGCCGCCGTCGCAACACTCTCAATTTAAACAAGCCTTGTCATTGTTAATTTTTTTATCACGTCGCCGTTCTCGATTTTTTTTTACTAGCATCACCTCTGTGGCATTTTGCTATCATCACAATGTTACTGTTTTTATCACATCCTTCAGTTTCGTAGTTAAGGTTTGGCATGGCCAAAAATCGTCGACGCAGAACAGTGCGATACAGTTTCTTGAACAACTTGTAACAGGTTGTAATTTACGAGTAATGGACGAACCAAGAAACCTTTCGTCAAATAAGTACTTCTTAATGAGCAGAAACGAGCTTCCATATATCTTCATCTCCGTAAGATCGGAAAAAAGTCATTTCTACGTACCAAGTTGTTTGAACATTTCCCAATGAGTATGCACCACAAACTATTCACTCTAAGACGGCGGCGTGTGGTATGTTTCGTCTGGCCAAGTTTAAATATAAAATGACCTAGTTTTCTTATCGCTGCCTGGGTAACCTTAAAACACTCTCAGGAATTTAAAAACAAATTTTTGTTCTCACGGAATTTCACCGGGCGTTCATCGAAATCTATTCAGCCTGTCTGTCGGAACTTCAAAGGCTACCGCTCCATGCACGAGGCAACCTTGCGGAAATACAAGAAAAAACATTACTCTTGCAGCTATGGTTTTTAAGAAAAAAAAAAGGAAGATTTGTTTTTATATTCCTTTCCCTTCACTGATTTTTGTTTCTGTTTGTCTATTTGCTTCTTCTCGTTGTTGCTTCGTGACAAAAAAGAGCTGGATGGGAAAGAGACATGACGTCTGACGCCTTTCTCATATCGCACATAGTCAACGTTGTGTACTTAAACCAGGACGTCAAAGTTAAGACGGACATGCTGTAACTCCTATGTCAAACCACGAAAACATTGGAAGAACGTCAATATGGGATGTACGTTGTTCCATTTCCTTTCGGTATACTTCAAGGCTCATGCAGCATCCCACATGCAATGATCTTTAGAACCAAAAACGTCTTATGTCTTTTGTATCGTTTCCGTTCTATAAAGAAGGGGTTCTCAATCCTTTCTGTCTTCTTCTTCAACTTACTAGTCTTTTAATATTTATTAACTAACAAATCAGTATACTTTTCATTATTATTAGTATTTTGTGTGTTTCCGCGTTCACAAAGGTCACTTACCTTCAGCGCGCAAATCACTGTCGCAACCGTTTGATCCCACTTCAGCCTCTTTCTGAAAAATCATCCTATAGCACACGTAACTTGTAAGACCTAGGCATAGGACTGTCAATACCAATAACAGAATATTCAAAGCCACCAGACATCGCATTCGTCCTGAAGAAGACCGAGACAGTCTGTCGTTTGTCTGATACCGACGGCTCCTCGTGTTCTCAACATGTGGTTGCTTTGGAGGGCGATTTTTAAACACGCTGCTGTTGGGAGTAAAAGGAGCTCTATCTAAGCTGTTGAACGCCGGGTTTTCGCAAAAATGGAGTTCAACGTTATGTCTGTTAGGTGGCTCAGAATAATGATTTTCGAGTCGCCTCCTTCCTTCCATCGTTTTCTGTTCAGAGCGATCACCTTATGGCCTAAGTTTTGTTTGGGTGCGACTTTGTCAGGGTATGACAGCTATTTCCTTTACGTTATTTTCCAACCTGTTACTTGATCACCGGAAATCATTCGCGGTTTACATCAAGGGGCTTTCGGCGGGGCGGGAAAAGAAAATCACGCCACTGCCTGTTTAGCGCAAAACGTGAGAAGGAGGAAGGATATATATTTTCCCCCACTTCGTTCCCTGTTTTCTTGCTTTTATTACTTTATGTTCGAGTCGTTAGGTTTTTAAGGGAATGAAATGTCTTAGTTTTGCATTCGATCAAGAAATCGCGATGGCAGCTCGGGAATGTAGTTTTAAAATAAGTGCTCAGGTCTTAGTTTGCCTCTGGAAGTTCTTAGACGTAATTCCGCGAGTTTTTAAACCCAGGGAATCCCTAAATCCTCATGAGACAACATGGTTAAAACAGAGGAAACCATAATACAGCCAGATTCCTCTAGTTCCTCTGGTTAAAAGCTCCAGATGGGCTTTATTAGAAGTTGTCGGAAAATCTTTTGCGGGTACGTCATGGGTGTAACTCAAGGAATGACGAAGGTGTGTGGAAGGAAAATGCTAGAAGAATAACCGGAGGGTCTGTTAATTTTAACTGGACTTCGTATTCAAATTCTCGACGTTGAAAACGACCACTTAGTGTCGTAACAAAACATCCGTTCGAGGTAGATCTGTCTTTCAGCATACTTAGATACTTCACATTCACCTCTCTCGATCCCCGTAGAGGAGATCTTTACGGAAGCAAAACATCCTTCGCAAGTGACACTCGCCGCACAGGGCAAAGCGTCCACTAAGAGGTGATGAATGAAAAAAAAAATACACAGGTGAATACGTCTATTTTATCTCATTTCTTGACATTATTGTTGTCTGATAAGTTAATTATGATATATGAATTTGTTACATATCTATGTCCTTGAGACGATTACACAAGCATGCAAGAAGGGAAATTAAGTATTCTGGTTTGCTACTTGGGCGGGAAAAGCCAGTTTTTCTGAATTTTTCTCACTTTTTCCTCTTTCAAACGTCAGCGCTTGAGCATAGCCCTGTTTTTCTCTAGCTTTGTTTTATCAACTTCTTTGGACTCTCTGGAAAGAACAAAACTGAATGAGATAACAGAAGGTCCAAAAAAAAAAACCCAGTTTCAATGTTTAGCCTCATTGGCCTCACTGTTAGTCAATAACTTCTGTTATATACTGCAGACCGGACGACTACTCCTACACGCGGCTTTGCGGGTGGTTTTGTTTATAATCCGGAAGAGCAACAATTTGCCATTAAAAAAAAAAACAGAACAACAACAAAAAAAGAGCAGTAAAAACAAAACAAAACAAACAAAACAAAAACAAAGAGAGGATGTATACGTGAGACAAACAAAAAAAATAAACTCGACCTCCACAAAAAACCTTGCTTTTACTTAAGGTGGTTAGAGGTTAGCCTATCAGCCTGTAATATTTCCTGTGAACACGTTTAAAGGTCATTAAAATGAGAGGAAGATAGTATGAGCTATGCTATCATAGCTGGCCAAAGTATGCGTTTATAAAACCACAATTTTTCTGCTTTGAGTTAGCTCTAAGTGGAAAGAGCACCCACTTCTACGTGAACAGCAAATTTAATGTACTTCTACGAAAAAAATAGCGTATGTATGGGATCATATTTAAAACGCACGCCTGAAGGAAAGTATGCGTGGAATCATCGGTCACAGACGGTAGGAGATCAACAAAAAAATACACGTTCGCCCGGGAGCGATCGACGATTGGAGAGCTGTTTCTGGGTGGTCGATGATATTTTTAAAACATATGGAGATAAAATATCTTGACTTCCTCTATACCATACAGGTGAATAGTGCTTTAGCGCACAATGATTGGCTTGTTCAGAAGTGATTAGCGAGTGCCATCCACCTCCGAGAAACCGATAAAAAACCATTCTTTTTGTTTCTGTGTGGTATATACAAATAAAACGCTTATTCACCTCAGTGTAAGTGAGGGTAATGGATATTTACCGAGCTGCAATGCTACAAGGTAGATATCCATCACTATATTCACCTTCACCTCGATAAATAATGGTTGATTTATTGTTTAATTTATATCACGAGAGTGGGTTTGCGCACAACAGATAGGAAATTTGTTTGCCGTTCGAGCGCCGGTCAGTAGCCAAGTGATCATCCATTGCATTATGCAGGTTTGATTTGCACTTGAATTTTGCAGATATACACCTTTGCGCTTTCCCTGAGACGATTATATTTGGCTTTGCATAATGCCGATTTGATATGCGCCTATACATCTGTATTGACCCCACGGTTAGTCAATAACTTTTGTTATATACTGCAAAGCGGACGACTATTCCCCACCCGCGGCTTTGCGGGTGGTTATGTTGATAAGCCGGAAGAGCAACAGTTTGCCTTTAAAAAAACATAACAACAAAAAAAAGGAACAAAAACAAAACAAAACAAATCAAAGAGAGGATGTACCTGAGACAAAACAGAATAAGTATGAAAACAAAAAAATTAAACTGGACTTCTTCAAAAAACGTTGCTTTTACTTTAGGTGGTTAGAGGTTAGCCTATCAGCCCGTAATATATCTCACGAATACGGTTAAAGGTCATTAAAATGGGAGGAAGATAGTATTAGCTATGCTATCATAGCTGGCCAAAGTATGAGTAGATAAAACCACAATATTTCCGCTTTGAGTCAGCTCTTAATGGAAAGAGCACCCACTTCTACGTGAACAGCAAATTTGATGTGCTTTCACGAAAAAAATAGTGTATGTATGCGATCATATTTAAAACGCACGCCTGAAGGAAAGTATGAGTGGAATCATCAATCACAGACGGTTAAGAGATTAGCAAAAAAATACATGTTCACCCAGAAGCGATCGACGATTGGAGAGCTTTTCTGGGTGGTCAATGGTATTTTTAAAACATATGGAGATAAAATATCTTGACTTCCCCTATACCATATCGGTGAATAGTGCTTTTCGCGCACGATGATTGGCTAGTTCGGAAGTGATTAGCGAGTGCCATCCACCTCCGAGAAGCCGATAAAAACCATTCTTTTTTTTTTTTTTTCTGTGGTATATACAAATAAAACGCTTATTCACCTCAGTGTCAGCGAGAGCAGTGGATATTTACTAAGCTGCAATGCCGCAAGGTTGATATCCACCACTATATTCACCTTCACCTCGATAAATATTAGTTGATTTATTGTTTGATTTATTTCACGAGAGTGGGTTTGCGCACAACAAATAAGAAAATGGTTTGCCGTTCGAGCGCCGGTCAATAGCCAAGTGATTATCTATTGCATTATGCATGTTTTATTTGCACTTTGTTGGAAATAAAATTCTAACACTCGTTGATGTTGTCTCTTTCTTTATTCCCTCTTACTCACAGGTTAATACAACTGGGACTAGCTCTCATCTCTCTAGGTAATTGTGGGTCACTGCTTTTAAAGGTGACACATACTGAGCTGTCAATCTCTAACTTTCGTCATCCTTTTACACTTAACCAGCGAATCACGTTAAGCTACGCAGAACGGAGTTCGCATACTAAGTAGACACCTTAGAGATGTTTACGCTTTACAAAATGACTTTCTGCTAAAAATTTCTTAGTCTTACGGTCAAGGTCGGGCAAAACTTAAACGAGATTGGTAATATAAACTGGAAAGACAAAAAACTCACTAACAAAATTAAATTCATAGTTGAAAAGATATCTTAAGAGAAAATAGCCCTCGAAGACCGTTACATAACAGCAAAATAAACAGAAAATTCGGAGAAGAAAGGGCGTACCCAAGGTATCGCCCCTAAAAGAGCTACGTGCTATTCGTATAAATTACCTGATTATAAATTCAGTGCAGAAGATGAAAAGTATTACATGCATACATCTTAAGACATCTCTAAGAAAAAGGGGTGTCGAACGTGCTAAATTAAAATTTAAGAACTATTTTCCAGATCGGGAATTCGACATAGATTTAGCCTAAAAAACGAGAATATTAAAGAGGTAAAAGTATAAGGGACGGTTATTTCCAGGAAATTCCTTTACAGGATCAATTTTTATAAGGTAGAGATGGAAATAAACTGATATTTAGCCTCAAACTGCAGTTTACGCAAAAACATCTGTCTCCATGTCAAATTCACGATCATCATAAGGAAAAGGTGACCAAACCTTATCTGTAAGATAAGACCGCCAAAAGGAATAAAAAATTATCAACTGGCTTATTATAATTTTTACTGAGTGGCTTATGCTAATATATTATATTCATTCATTTCTCAACACAAATCTAGGAAACCCTTACAATGTTTTTAGGTTAGATATATTTCTATTTTCATCGTTAACAACTTGCATGTTGCAGATATACAGCTTTGCGCTTTCCCTAAGACGATTGTAATTGGCTATGCATAACGCCGATTTTATTTGCGCCTATACATCTTTATAATTATTTTTTTTACACTTGTGTAGGGCTTGCTTTCTTGGCAAATTGCACAATGCAGATTCTATTTGTCCTTGCATTCGATCTGCACTCGTACCATGCTAATTCGGCTTGTACCTGCATTTTGCTGATTTTTTTTCACGCTTGAGTTGAAACCTTGGAATTAATTGTCTCAATCATATGTGAGAACACTTTCGCTCTTTAATCATTTGCCTTGTGTTTACTCCGCACTGCGAGCTTCCACGAGAAACCGAAAAAATAAAATAAGATAGATTTATATTTAATGAGTCGGGGAATTTCTCTTGATCAGCTCCAGGCTTCACATATTAATAAGTTGAATGTGGTCGTGAACACTGAAACTCGAACTTTCGCGAGTCAGCCGTCTCTTCCACTCGACTAGAATGAGAAGTTTTCCTAGAGCAAACGTTACAAAATATAGAAAACAAACCGGTTACTATGGTTTTCGCATTTCGTGTCTTCTCAACTTTATGAGCTCTAGAACGCTTTCAATATCTCTTCATTCTCCTACCCAGGTCCCTCAGACGAAACCAGTTGTGATTTTAATTTATCAGATGTCTAATTTGAATACACGTGATGACTTTCTATTTCCGCTTTGAGTGTGTGGATCAAACAGCACGCGTTTTGATCTCCGTGACTGAACTGACTCGAAATGACTTTCAACAGAAACGACTTGAGGGTGATCTCCAACATCCAAGTAGTCAACTGCGTAGTGCTTTTCGTTTTGGGGCTTACTGATGGATTCGGTGTGCGTTTTATGTATTCCAGTTTGACTTTCACCCCCTGCTGGATAGCGATCCTTGTAAGTAAAAAAATCAATTCAGAAAAATTGGTACTTCAAGTTTAAGTTAGAGTAGGTATTAAACATTCTTGTCTCGATATTTCGGAAAGACATGCGTATGCGGCACCAAAATTGCGAAATCATGTGGATATTTAATGCAAGCAATTTCCATTTATCAACTTAACAAAACTTGTTAACTGACTCACTTGTCTGCCCAAGAAAATGAAATGAGATGGAACATGCCTTAGTGCCTTAGTGCATGCACTGCGTTTTATAGTTTTTGATTCATCTGTGTCGACATACTAAAGAAAGGAATTGTACCGAGACATGAAGGTCTGTCATTATCTATGATTTTGCCCTAAGGGCAAGCAAGGATCGACTAGTCACGTACGAATGATTCAAGTTCATTTTGGCTCATACTGCAAACTAAAGTAATTATTAATTAAATAAATAATTTATAATCAAGTGTGTCATATGCCTTCAACTATGAATAAACTTTTTGTCAAAATTCAAATCTTATGAAGTTTGAATTTTTAAAAAAAATCCATATTACACAAAGTTCAAAGTAAGATAATGATATACGATTTAATCTCGTGATTACTTCTCAAATATCGTTTTCAATAAAGTTTCCGCTTCGTTCGTGGCTTAGAACACGCAACGAAAAATTGCGGAAGAACATTTCTGTCCTTCGCTTCACTTATTGCTAGATGAATTTAAAAGAAAAAACAAAAAGGTATTGATATTTCAAACACAGATGCAGATGAAAGTTTGACCAGTTCTTCACTCATACGATACTTCAGCGAGCAGGTGTAACGCATGTTTTATTAGCGTTGTTTTAATGACATTTGTCAGTATGATAAGAGGTCTAACCAAATATAATCCCAAGACAACCGGTCCACAGTACAATTTCAATCGATCAACGGTCATGCTCAAAAAATTATATGCCGAGTTATGCCACAGTCCTTAAAGGTGTTGGTCGTAACAGTTTTGTTTTTGCAACAATAAACAGCGACCATGCAGGTTTTCCAAGCGATAAAAAAGGGAAGAAAAATCAAAAATAAAAAAATTTACTAGGGGAATCCGGCAAGATTTGTATTCTTGTCTCGAGTGAACACGTCTTTTAGTTTTTATTTTAAAGTTTGCATATAGCTTTTTATACACTTACCAGAGGAAAAACGCTCAAGAACTCTCAGCCAAAGATGTCATCTAGTTTCCTGGTGTGCACTCAAACATTTTATACGTGCTAAACATTTAAGCAATAGACAGCACCTTCTATCCGTTTACTGGCGTAAAAACCCACGCGGGAGGACACGAGAAAAGGTTTTTAATTATAAAAAAGCGAAGGATTTCAACTTGTGCGAGTTTTATAAATCACAAGATGAATACGTACGCATTGTGTGAATGCTTCTAACTCTTTTTTCGGTAATCGGCAACATGGAATCTATCTGATAGATAAATTAGTTATGGCTTACCGGCTCAATGGATGTTTAGTCAATCAGATTGCGGATATCAGAGTAATTTTTGAAACGAGACATTTTTTTTTATGCGCCATTTTTATTTCTTTAAGGTGTTGGCCGCTGGAATCATGGGCCTGACTTTAAGCAACAAGCAAAGACCTTCCTTAACTCTGGTACGAAATATGAACAATTTTATTTACGCATCATGAGGGATCCATTCATTCTCCGCCTAGTGGAATGTACGTTAAATGATTCCCGGTAGATATACCAATACATGAACCTTGAGTCCATAAGAGAGGAAGTAGCAACTTTTTGTGATGCCTTTTTTATTTTATACTATTTGTTCGTTTGTTTTTTTTGGTTTTTATAATTTTTTGGTTTTTTTTTTGGCCCTTTGCAGATAAACGCCTTGCAGTCTGTGAGCGTAGCCTGTGCTGCAATATCAGCGATAACCGCGTACCACTATCTGGTCGCTTTGTCCATTATGATGGCTTTGGGTTATGCCTCAGCGCTAAGCAGGGATTACTATGATAAAGATCCCTTTTTCTTTGATTTGGACCAGCCGCTGGACATAAACTTTACCGCAAAGCAGAAATCCATGGTGGCTGTTTCTTCCCTGATCATCTTATGCTCCATCATTGAGATCATTCTTGCGGTGGCAGCCATCAGGAGCAGTAATATAACTGGTCAGAGCTCGCAGGAACAGCAAGTAAGAGAAGTTGATGATTACCAGATTCTTGACTCTAACAAACTCGATATTTCTGCGTTATCAACTTGAATCATTTTGATGATCAGTCAGTTAGTCATTCAGTTATTTGTCCAGTCAGTCAATTTTCGTCAAATCTTTTCGTCTGGGCTATCAGTCATTAACCTAATTAGTCATTTATTTAATCAACATGTTTGGCAGCACGCTATGAACAAACCAGTCGGAAACGTTTGTTTGCCAAATTACCTCGACTACACAGTGTATAAACGATATTTAATAATTATTGACCTAAGTGAAGGTGAATAGTGGTGGATATTTAGCCCAGCCGCGAAGCGACACAGATTGATTGTCTTAGTATATACCACGCAGAGACCGCCCCCACCCCCACCTCCCCCCCCCCCCAAAAAAAAAATATAAACATATAGTTTATTTATGTCAAGTTACTGAAAATGGGTTGAAAATTAAGTTGTCAACGCGCAATTTTGTCTCTTTGGCCACTCGGAGGTGAATCGTACTTGCTAGTCACTTTGAAACCAGCCATTATTCACGTGTGTGGTATACGCTAACACCTAATATTCCTCAATTTTAACCGATGGACCACATTAATTGGATCACAAAACAATCGGGGCGTACGATAAGCACTACTCACCTGTGTGGTTTATACTAATACCGGATATTCCTCAATTTTAACTAATGCATATTGAATTACGAAACGCCTTTAGACCAATCGCGCAAAGGAAACATTTGATGGACTACAAATTATTAAATGAACCAGGGTAATAAAACACATCATATCTCAATTCATTTTCAGGTAAGGATTTGCCATGGCCAGCTTGAAGCTGGTGAGGTGCCGATCCATATGCAAGAGCAGCCGACCTCAGTCGCAGCCCAACCATTGATGGCTTTTCCAGACACTACTAATTAGTAGCTACAGTTGAACCTTAATTAAGCCGTCACCATGTATTAAACTGTCAGTTGCAATCGTCAAAGTCTCGAATTTTTTATCCCTTAATCACTGTGAAATGTACCTACATTAAGCGGTCACATCTATTTGGTGGTCGCCGTCACCGTTTACTCAACGGCCTGTTTTTTATTGTCTTTCACTTTCATTGGACGGTCAATAAAAGCGAAACCACTCAAATAAAACTAAAGATACTATTTTAATTACTTTTTATCTATGTTTCTCTACAACAATAAAAGTAAGTAATATTTGCAACCGACATTCTGCATATGAAGTGGTCAATTATGGCATAAAATGGCGTTTTTATCGTTTTTAATGATACCCTGATCAGTGGAACCTGAATTAAGTTTTCAAACTGTTTAAGTGGTCACTCAACCACTCCCCGTGGGTAACCGGTTAATGTAGGTTCGACTGTATTGTGAACACCCTTATTAGCCCTAGAGGGTATCATTCACTTCCCGGTAGCCGACAGAAACTAATCTTTCTGGTTTATGTATATGGCATATTCTACTAAAACGGTTATTCACCTCAGTATCAGTAAGAGTGGTGGATATTTACCGAGCTGCGAAGCTGCGAGGTAAATATCCACCACTATTCACCTGTACTTTCGGTGAATAATTTTTGATTTAGTTCACGGGAGTGGGTTTTGCGAAATAAATAGGAGAAAGCAGATAGGGGAATGGTAAGGCGTTCGAGGGTCCATTAGTAACCGGATGATTGACAATTTCATTATGCATGTTTGATTTGCCCTTGAACTTTGCAGATTTACTGCTCTGTGCTTCCACTGAGGCGATTTAATTTAGCCTTGCATTATGCCGTCGGATTTGATTGCGCTAAGCTTATACATTGTCTAGATAATTTCTTTATGCATGTTTAATTTGTACTTGCATTCTGCAGATTCACAGCTTTGCGCTTCCCCTGGGATGATTTAATCTGGCTTTGCATAATGTCGAAATGATTTGCACCTATATATCTTCCTAATCATTTTCTTTACAGTTATGTAGGGCTGGCAAATTGCACAATTCAGATTTAATTTGTCCTTGCATTATGCAGATTCGATCTACACTCGTACCGTGCTAATTTGGCTTGTACCTGCATTTTGCTGATTTGTTTTCCCGCTTGAATTGAAACCTCGGAATTGTTTCAGTCCTATATGAGAACACTTTCGCTGGTTAATCATTTGCCTTGTGTCTTCTCCAGCATTTGAGCTTCCACGATTTACCGAAAAATTAAGATAAGGCAGATTTATATTAAATGAGTCGGGGAATTTCTCTTGATCAACTCCGGGTTTCATATATTATTAGTTGAATGTGGTCCATGTCACCGAAACTCGAACTTTCGCGAATCAACCGTCTCTTCCACTCGACTAGAATGAGAGGTTCTCCTGGAGCAAGCGTTACAAAATATAGAAAACAAACTGGTTACTATGGTTTTCGCATTTCTTGGTGTCACGACTTTCTGAGCTCGAGAACGCTTTCAATATCTGTTCATTCTCTTACCCAGGCTTCTCAGATGAAACCAATCGGGACTTTAATTAATGCAATGCCTAATTTGAATGTACGTGATGACTAGCCATTTCCGCATTGACTGCGTGGATCAAACAGCACGCGTTTTGATCTCCGTGACTGAACTGACTCGATATGACTTTCAACAGAAACGACTTGAAGGTGATCTCCAACATCCAGGTTATCATCTGTGGAGTGCTTTTCTTTTTGGGGCTTATTGATGGTCTCAGCGTGCGTTTTATGTATTCAAGTTTGACTTTCACCCCCTGTTGGATAGCGATCCTTGTAAGTAAAAAAATTAGTCAGAAAAATTGGTATTTTGAGTTAAGGTTAGAGTAGGTATTTAACAACTTCTCGTCTCGATATTTCGAAGAGAAATTCTTGTGCGGCACCAAAATTGCGAAACCTTGTGGATATTGAGTGCAAGCAGTTTCTATTTATCAACTTAACAAAACTTGTTAACTGACTCACATGCCCAAGAAAATGGAATGGAATTGAACTTGCATGAGAAAATAACTGCACGTTATAGTGTTTGATTTATCTCTGCGTCGACATACTGAAGAAAGAAATTGTATCGGGAAAAGAAGGCCTTTTATGATCTATGATTTTGCAGCAAAAGCAAACAAGGACCGACTAGTTACGAACCAGTGATTCAGGTCAATCCTGGCGCATACTGCAAACTAAACCAACCACTAATTGAATAAATAATTTGTAATAAAGTGTGTCATATGCCTTCAACTATGAATAAACTTTTCGTCAAAATTCAAACCTTCAAGGTTTGTCAAAGTGTAAAGTAACGTAATGATATGGGATTTAATGTTGTTATTACTTCTCAAATATCGTTTTCAAGAAAGTTTCCGCCTAGTTCGAAGTGGCTTAGAACACGCCACGGAAAATTGCGGATAAACTGTTTCGTTCTTCACTTCACTTATCGCTAGATAAATTATAAAAAATAAAAAAAAACTAAAAGGTATCGATCTTTCAAACACAGAGGCAAATGAAAGTTCGACCAGTTCTTCACTCAAACGATATTTTAGCGAGCAGGTGTAACGCAAGTTTTATTAACGTTGTTTTAATGATATTTGTCAGTATGATAAGTGGTCAGACCAAATGTAATCCCAAGACAACCGGCCCACAGTACAATTTCAATCTATCAACGGTCATGCTCAAAAAAATTCGATGCCGAGTTATGCCACAGTACTTAAAGGTGTCGATGGTAACAGTGTTGTTTTCGCAACAATTAACAGCGACCGTGCAGGTTTACCAAGCGATAAAAAAGGGAAGAAAAATCGAAAAAAAAAAGTTTACTAAGGGAGTCCGGTAAGATTTGTATTCTTGTCTCGAGTGAACACGTCTTTTAGTTTTTATTTTAAAGTTTGCATAGCTGTTTAAACACTACCAGAGGGAAAACACTCAAGAACTCTCAGCCAGACCAAACATTTTATGCGTGTTAAACATCTAAGCGATAGACCGCACCTTCTATTGGTTTACTGGCGTAATAACTCACGCGGGAGGACACGAGAAAAGGTTTTTCATTATAAAAAAGCGAAGGATTTACAACCTGTGCAAGTGTTCTTCTAAATCATGCAAGATGAATATGTACGCATTGTGTGAATGCTTCACACTCTTTTTTCAGTAATCGGCAACACGGAATCTATCTGATAGATAAATTAGTTATGGCTTACCGGCTCAATGGATGTTTAGTCAATCAGATTGCGCATATCAGAGTAATTTTTGAAATGAGACATTTTTTTTTTATGCGCCATTTTTATTTCTTTAAGGTGTTGGCCGCTGGAATCATGGGACTGACTTTAAGCAACAAGCAAAGACCTTCTTTTACTCTGGTACGAAATATAAACAATTTTATTTACGCATCATGAGGGATCCATTCATTCTCCGCCAGGTGGAATGTACGTTAAATGATTCCCGGTAGATATACCAATACATGAACCTTGAGTCCATAAGAGAGGAAGTAGCAACTTTTTGTGATACCTTTTTTATTTTTCATTGTTTGTTTGTTTGTTTTTTGTTGTTGTTGTTTATATTTTTTTTTTGGCCCTTTGCAGATGAACGCCTTGCAGTCTGTGAGTGTGGCCTGTGCTGCAATATCAGCGATAACCGTGTACCACTATCTGGTCGCTTTGTCCAAGTTGATGGTTTTGGATTATGTCTTAACTGCAAACAGGGGATTCCCTAATAAAGATCCCTTTTTCTTTGATTCGGAAATAATCTTTACTGCAAAACAAAAATCCATGGTGGCTGTATCTTCCCTAATCATCATATGCTCCATCACTGAGATCATTCTTGCGATGGCAGCCATCAGGAGCAGTAATATAACTGGTCAGAGCTCGCAGGAACAGCAAGTAAGAGAAGCTGATGATTACCAGATTCTTGCCTCCAAACAAACTCGATATTTCTGCGTTATCAACTTGAATCACTTTGATGATCAGTCAGTTAGTCAGTCAGTTATCTGGCCAGTCAGTAAATTTTTGTCAAATCTTTTCGTCTGGGCAATCAGTCATTAACCTAATCAGTCATTTATTTAATCAACATGTTTGCCAGCACGCTATAAACAAACCAGTCGCAGACGTTTTTTTGCCAAATTGCCTCGACGACAGTGTATAAACGATATTTAATAATTATTGACCTAATTAAGTGAAGGTGAATAGTGCTGCCCAGCCGCGAAGCGACACCGATTGATTGTCTTAGTATATACCACACAAAAACCCGCCCCCCTCTCCCAGTAAAAAAAAAATTTTAAAAATTTTATTTATGTCAATCTACTGAGAATTGGCCGATAATTAAATTGTCAACGCGTAATTTAGTCCCTTTGGCCACTCGGAGGTGAATCGTACTTGCTAGTCACTTTCGAACCAGCCAACATTCACGTGTGTGGTGTACGCTAACACCTTATATTCCTCAATTTTCACCGATGGACCACATTAATTAGGTCACAAAACGCGAAATCAAAACAGCCAGGGCGTACGATAAGCACTACTCACCTGTGTGGTTTACACTAACGCTGGATATTCCTCAATTTTACCGGATGCATATTGAATCATGAAACGCCTTTGGACCAATCGCGCAAGGGAAACATTTGATTGACTACCAGTTATTAAATGAATCAGGGTAATAAAACACATCATATCACAATTCATTTTCAGGTAAGGATTTGCCATGGCCAGCTTGAAGCTGATCAGCTGCCGATCTATATGCAAGAGCAGCCGACCTCAGTTGCAGCCCAACCACTGATGGCTTTTCCAGACACTACTAATTAGTAGCTACAGTTGAACCTTTATTAAGCCGTCACCATGTATTAAGCTGTCAGTTGCAATCGTTAAAGTCCCGAATGTTTTATCCCTTAACCACTGTAAAATGTACCTTTATTAACCGGTCACATCTATTTGGTGGTCGCAGTCACCGTTTACTAAGTCCCAACCGCCTATTTTTTATTGTCTTTCACTTGTATTGAACAGTCACTGAAAGCGGAACCACTCAAATAAAAATAAGAATACTATTTTAAGTACTTTTTAATCTATGTTTCTCTACAACAATAAAAGGAAGTAATATTTGCAACCAAGATTCTGCATATGAAGTGGTCAATTATGGCATAAAGTGGCGTTTTTATCGCTTTTAGTAATACCACTGATCGGTAGCTGTGTAAGCGTTCATTCCACCACTCCCCGTGGGTGACCGCTTAGTGCAAGGTCGACTATATTGTGAACACCCTTATTAGCCCTAGAGGGTACCATTCACCTCCAAGCAGCCGACAGAAACTAATATTTTTGGTTAATGTATATGGTATATACTACTAAAACGGTTATTCACCTCAGTATCAGTAAGATTGGTGGATATTTACCGAGCTGCGAAGCCGCAAGGTATATATCCACCACTATTCACCTGTACTTTCGGTAAATAAGCTTTGATTTAGTTCACGGGAGTGGGTTTTACGAAATAAATAGGAGAAAGCAAATAAGGGAATGGTAAGGCATTCGAGGGCCATTAGTAACCGGATGGTTGACAATTTCATTATGCATGTTTGATTTGCCCTTGAATTTTGCAGATTTACTGCTCTGCACTTCCTCTAAGGCGATTTAATTTAGCCTTGCATTATGCCGCCGGATTTGACTGCACTAAGTTTATACATTGTCTAAATAATTTCTTTATGCATTTTTAATTTGTACTTTATGCATGTTTAATTTGTACTTGCATTCTGTAGATTCACAGCTTTGTGCTTTCCCTAGGATGATTTAATTTGGCTTTGCATAATGCCGATTTTATTTGCACCTATACATCTTCATAATCATTTCTTTATAGTTTTGTGGGGATGACTTTCTTGGAAAATTGCACAGTGCAGATTTAATTTGCCCTTGCATTATGCAGATTCGATTTGCACCCGCAACATGCTAATTTGGCTTGTACCTGCATTTTGCTGATTTGTTTTCGCACTTGGATCGAAACCTCGGAATTGTTTCACTCGTATGTGAGAACACTTTCGCTGTTTAAAGATTTGCCTTGTGTTTACTCCGGAGTTCGAGCTTCCGCGAGAAACTGAAAAACTGAGATAAGACAGAATTACATTTAATGAGTCGGGGAATTTCTCTTGATCAACTCCAGGTTTCAGGTATTAATAAGTTGAGTGTGGTCGTGAACACTGTAACTCGAACTTTCGTGAGTCAGCCGCCTCTTCGAATTCCTCTCGACTAGAATGAGAGGTTCTCCTGGAGCAAGCGTTACAAAATATAGAAAACAAACCAGTTACTATGGTTTTCGTATTTCGTGTTGTCACGACTGTATGATTTTAGAACGCTCTAGAACGCTTTCAATATCTGTTCATTCTCCTACCCAAGTCCATCAGATGAAACCAATTGTGACTTTAATTAATGAAATGCCTAATTTGAATATACGTGATGACTAGACATTTCCGCGTTGAAGGTGTGGATCAAACAGCACGCGTTTTGATCTCCGTAACTCAGCTGACTCGAAATGGCTTTCAACAGAAACGACTTGAAGGTGATCTCTAACATCCAGGTTATCATCTGTGGAGTGCTTTTCATTTTGGGGCTTGTTGATGGACTCAGCGTGCGTTTTGTGTATTCCAGTATGACTTTTATCCCCTGTTGGCTAGCGATCCTTGTAAGTAAAAAAGTCAGAAAATTGTTACTTCAAGTTAAAGTTAGAGGACGTATTTAACAATCTCTTGTCTCGATATTTCGGAGAGAAATTCTTGTGCGGCACCGAAATTGCGAAATAATGTGAATATTGAGTGCAGGCAGTTTCTCTTTATCAACTAAACAAAAGTTGTGACCTGACTCACATGCCCAAGAAATGGAATGGAATTAACTTTCATGAGAAAATAACTGCACTTTATAGAGTTTGATTTATCTCTGTGTCAACACACTGAGGAAAGGAAATGTATCGAGAAATGAAGGTCTTTTACGGTTTATGATTTTGCAGCAAAAGCAACCAAGCACCGACTAGTCACGAACCAGTGATTCAAGTCCATGCTGGTGCATACTGCGAACCAAACTAACTACTAATTAAATAAATAAATTGTAATAAAGTGTGCCATACACTTTAACTATGAATAAACTTTTCGTCAAAATTCAAACCTGTTTGAATAAAAAAAACAACAACAAATATTCACAAAGTGTAAAGTAACGTAATGATATAGGATTTGATGTTGTGATTACTCCTCAAATATCGTTTTCAAGAAACTTTCCGCCTCGTTCGAAAATGTGGCTTAGAACACGCCACAGAAAACTACGGATAAACACTTTCGTTCTTCGCTTCACTTATCGCTGGATGAATTAAAAAAAAATAAAATAAAAAAAGAATCGATCTTTCAAACACAGAGAGAAATGAAAGTTCGACCAGTTCTTCGCCCAAACGATATTTCAGCGGGCAGGCGGAACGCATGTTTTTCTCAACGTTGTCGTAATGCTATTTGTCAGTTTGATAAGAGGTTAGACCAAATGTAATCCCAAGAAAATCGGCCCACATTGCAATTTCAATCTACCAACGGTCATGCTCAGAACAATTCGATGCCGAGTCATGCCGCAGTACATAATGGTGTTGGTGGTAACAGTATTGTTTTCGTAACAAATGCAATTACTCACTAATTATAGATTGTTTTTAATGATTGGCCTCACTGCATCGCGGAGATATTGGTGTACCTATGCACAACAGTGACCGTGCAGGTTAACCAAGCGATAAAAAAACGAAAAGAAAAATTTAAAAAAAAATTTTTACCAAGGAAGTCCGGTAAGATTTGTACTCTTGTTTGGAGTGAACACGTCTTTTAGTTCTTATTTGAAAGTTTGCACAACTGTTTATACAGCACCAGAGGAAAAACGGTTGGTAATCCTCAGCCAAGGATGCCATCTAGTTTTCTTGGTGTTTATCCAAACATTTTATGGGTGTCAAACATTTAAGCAATGGATCGCACCTCCTATCGGTTTACCGGCGTAACAACCCACGCGGAAGGACACGAGAAAAGGTTTTTCATCATAAAAAAGGAAAGGATTTACAACCTGTGCGTGTATTCTACAATTTTATAAATCACAAGATGAAAATGTACGCATTGTGTGAATGCTTCTCACTTTTTTTCTCAGATAGATAAAGTAGTTATGGTTTATCGGTTCAATGGATCTTAAGTCAATCAGCTTGCGCATATCAGAGTAATATTTGAACGAGACATTTTTATGCACTACCTTTGTTTCTTTAAGGTGTTGGCCGCTGGTATCATGGGAGTGACTTTAAGCATCGCGCCAAGACCTTCCTTAAATCTGGTACGAAATATAAGCTATTACATTTACGCATCATGAGGGATCCATTCATTCTCCACCATGTGGAATGTACGTTAAGTAATTCCCAGTAGATATACCAATAGATGAGCCTTGAGTCCATAAGAGAGGAATTAGCAACTTTTTTTATTTTATACTATTTTTTTTTTGTTTGGTTTATTATGTTTTTTTTTTGGCCCTTTGCAGATGAACGCCTTACAGTCTGTGAGCGTGGCCTGTGCTGCAGTATCAGCGATAACCGTGTACCACTATCTGGTAGCTTTGTCCAGTGTGATGGCTTTGGGTTATACCTCAACGCTAAGCAGAGGTTACTACAATAAAGATCCCTTTTTCTTTGATTTGGACCAGCTGGCGGACATAAACTTTACCGCAAAGCAAAAATCCATGGTGGCTGTTTCTTCCCTAATCATCATATGCTCCATCATTGAGATCATTCTCGCGATGGCAGCCATCAGGAGTAGTGATATGGGTGGTCAGAGCTCGCAGGAACAGCAAGTAAGAGAAGTTGATGATTACCAGATTCTTGAATCTAACAAACTCGATATTTCTGCGTTATCAACTTGAATTACTTTGATGATCAGTCAGTTAGTTAGTCATTCACGCTAGAAACAAACCAGTCGAAGACGTTTTTTTGCCAAATTGCCTCGACTACATGGTGTGTAAACGGTTTTTAACAATTATTGATCCACGTGAAGGTGAATAGTGGTGGAGATTTTCCTCAGCGCACGCGATAAGCACGACTCACCTGTGTGCATGGTTTATACTGAACACCGGATATTACTCAATTTTCAACTGATGCATACTGGATCACGAAACGCGTTTAGACCAATTGTGCAAGAGAAGAACTGTAATAGACTGCAAGTTATTAAATGAACCAGGGTAATAAAAAACATCATATCTCAATTCATTTTCAGGTGGGCATTTGCTATGGTCAACTTGAAGCTGGTCAGGTGCCGATCCATATGCAAGGGCAGCCGACCTCAGTTGCAGCCCAACCAGTGGTGGCTTTTCCAGAATCAGGCGTTCGCCCGGTGTACACTACTAATTAGTAGTTTCAGTCGAACCTATCTTAAGCCGTCACCATGTAATAAGCTGTCAGTTGCAATTGTTAAAGTCCCGGATCTTTTATCCCTTAATCACTGTAAACTGTACCTATATTAAGCGGTCACATCTATTTAGCGGTTGCAGTCACCGTTTACCGAGTCCAAATAGACTATTTTTTAACTGTTTTTCACTTGTGTTGAACGGTCACTGAAAGCGGAACTACCCATATAAAACTAAAAATGCTATTTTAAGTAATTTTTGATCTATTTTCTTCTACAACAATAAAAGTAGGTAATATTTGCAACGAGATTCTGCACTTGAGGTGGTCAATTATGATATTAAGTAGCGTTTTCTCGTTTTAAAAATACCTCTGATCGGTGAAACCTGTATCAAGAGGTCAAAACTGTATTAAGTGGTCACCACACCATTCCCTATGGGTGACCGCTTAATACAGGTTCGACTATATTGTGAACACCCCTATTTGCCCCAGAGGGCAACACTCACCTAATATTTTTGGTTTATGTATATGGCATATACTACTAAAACAGTTGTTCACTCAGCATCAATAAGGGTGGTGGATATTTACCGAGCTGCGAGGTAAATGTCCACCACTATTCACCTGTACTTTTAGTGAACAATTTTTGATTTAGTTCACGGGAGTTGGTTTTTCAAAATAAAAAGGAGAAAGCAGATAGGGGAATGGTGAGGCGTTCGAGGGCC